TTCAAAGGCCTGTGTGAGACTAGTTGTTAATGAATGCCCAGATTCTCTCCAGCAGCAACATGAAATACGGTTTGACACAGCTGGTGGCCCGAAAGGATTTGTTGACGACGCTTGCGGGATTTGCTTTGGAAGCTTGCTCCCATCCAGACAAGAATAGTTTCTTCCGCAACCCAAACGAACTGTCTGGTAGTTCCACTAAGTTTGGCTGTGTCAATGTCGTTGTTGATGCAATGCAGGTGCTCATCAAAACAATCTTCGCATCAGAATTCTTGGCTGCAAAACCATGTTCAACCAACCAGTCTACTGCAATGGTTGCTGTGCTGGGGAAAGCCACAGGCTTTCCAGATGCAGCAGCTTTGCATCCAATACGCTCAATGGTTTGCCTCATGGAAAAGGGCAATGCCAAAATGTTGCAACCTATATATATATATACCCATACTTGTACGTTGCAGTTAAAATCATGAACCATAACATTAGTAAAGCTATACTTTGGATTAGCTTCGCTACAGAAATTCTGGCCCAGCTGTGTCGAGCAGTCCATCTTCATCCACTGCATTGTGGATCGCATCCATACTCAACTGGCTTTTGTACTGGACCCCAGCAAGGGTATAGACGTTGTCAAAGTTGTACTTGAAAAGCGCTTCTAAAGGCAGCCTGTCCACTGAACACACAGAGGCATCATGTGAGAAGCTAGGTGGGAGTGGAAGCGGGACCAAATTCTGAGTGGAATCACCGGCTTCTATGTCGACTGTGTCATGCGTCACCACATATGTGCCCATCATCAGAACTCCGAGATGGTCATTCCACAAATCATCAGACCACTGAACAGCACGCTCCATGTATTTCTTGCCACTTGGTCTTGGGTCAATCACCCTGCAAATGCAATAGGTCGTCTCATGAAGTGATACACTTGTTGGAAATGCATAGTGTGCCCCAGGCCGCAAACACATCTTCACGTGTTCCTGGTACAACAAGGCATTCTCAATCCTGGATCTTGGGTGTGGGGCAGCTGTGGCAATCAGTGCCTCTTCGTAGTCTGTGTTGGCAAACATTATGGACAAATGGTGTCCACTTGTGAGGCGTGCAAGCTCAGCGCGGGTTGTCCAAGGTTCGCTTACCAGCTCATGGAACCGCGCAAGAAAGCGGTCAAGACCATTCCTGAAGGCAGCGTGATTGACGTCTTTGTTCAGGAGCCTGCGGAGATTGGCGCTGATATAAGCTACACTTCCTGCTCTAGCTGGTGCAGCTTTTTGGTGAACCAAATGATGACGTGCCTCAAGACGCTGCATGGGCACAAGGCAAACTCCATACTCCAAAATTGCTTTGAACAGGTGTGTGTTCATAATTGCATCTTGGCCTGACACCCATCGTTGAAGTGCCTCCACCAAATCTGGCTGACAGAAAATCCTGTCTGCAAAGGTACCTTTTTCCAATGTCTTCTGTTGGTGCATGCGCAGGAGGTCACTTCCAAGTTTGCGGCTTTGTTGCAATGCATCACTTCTTGCTTCTGGAGGGCCAACAATGTAGCACAACAGCTTTGGAAGGCACCAGGGAAATTTTTCATAATATGAAGTTCCTTGCTTGAAACGTAGCATCATTGCCGCTTTCGAAGCCTCAAAGCTGTTCAGCACTGTTTGTGCAGCCTGTGGGTTGACTTTCTGCAGTTTGTGCAAGGCTGCTGCAGCTTTTGAGTTGCTTCTTGTGGAAAGATCTTTCAACTGTATCAAAAATTCAGAGCATGCCCCTGATGCAAACTCGATCATCCGTCGGCCGTTCATCTTGCATGGCTGCTCAAGCTTCACATGTGGATCTTGATGTTCTGGGCAAGGACAACGATGTACAAATGTATGGATGCTGAATCCCCAGCATTGCAGAACCTGAGTTGCGTAGCGGCTCAACTGTCAAACGCCATTGTTTCTCAAGTTGTTACACAAGTCTCACGTTTTGTTTCTTTTGACTTAAAACAACCTTCAGAACGGATTTGGAGTCAGGATCGAGCGGCATAGTAGCACCAAAACACTGCCCAGAAAATCAACCGGTCAGCCGCATGCCCACCCAAAGCCCTGATGGCAGTTCTCTCCTCATTGGAAAAGTCATCAGCAGAGAGTGGTTCTAAATAGTCTATCAGTGCTTCCCGCGTGCTGATCCAGTGGAGCACTTCAAAGCCAAAGTGCCACCGGGTGATGCAAAAGGTGGGGCATGTAGTATTGAACAGCTTCGCAATAGATCCCTTTGCGTGTGTTGGGATTTTGTCGTTCTCGTAAATATGTCTTTGCACATACTGTTCAGCATGATCTTTTTTCGAAAAGAACTTGGCCATCGCCTGAATCTGGTGGTTGAACGATGGCCATAGCTCATTGTCTTGCGCAAATGCTTCTTCTGACTGCCTCATAACGTGATGCAGTAAGTGATCAATGTCTGATAGTGGCATGCAATGTTCAAAGCAACGTCCTGCGCCCTGGTCAGAGAAATCAGGTATCAGCCACAGGTTTGATTCGGTTCCAAAGTCAGATAGCAAGGAGCGCACCCGGGTTCTGGCAATGTCAGTGTTGGATTCCAGTTGTAACATGCGCAAGCATGACTTTGCCTTGAAGGCTGTGGAACTTGCTTGCTTCCCAAGGATCTGCAACGGAAGCAACCGGGTATGGACGTCAATTGACTGAAACCTTGCAAGAAGTGGTTGTTGAAACACTAACGATTCACAAAACAAACACAAACACAAGCTGGCATAAACAACAACAACAAAAAGAAACATCAAACTTTACAATTTGATTGAATTAGCAACACTGAGTCAAGGTGTTCAGCACTCACGGCACTCAAGCAAATACGGTCAACCTCTCCCACCATGTAGTTTCTGTTGAACTGTGGACTACTGTCCAACCGCAAGTGTAAGGTGTACTCAGCTTCAGCATTAAACACATGATCCCGTGCATAAAGCATGCTGCAAAAGTCAATGGATAGCCTGAAGTCATAGAGCGCGGACTTTTGTGGCAATCGCAACGTCTGGCTGGAAATATGCTGTGCTAGATCTGGATGAAGCGCTATGGTCATTGACCTAGTGAAGGGGCGACCAACAATATGGTCCAGTTGTGACCTAGTCGTATAATGGTATTACACACTAAACTACGACTACAACACCAACACACTCACCCTATTTTTTTGAGTGGATGATTTGTAAAATGGTTCAACTTGTTGCCAACAAACTTGTTGCTTGCTTTGGCTAAGAAACTGCCGAACCACATCCAACAGTAAATGAGTGTCAGGGTGCAATGCTTTCAAATTGTCTGCTAGTAGAACCGCATCCAGCAAGTACGTAGGAGCATATTGAATGCCCCCCACGCGTTTCTTCTCATCACCCTGGTTGCCAACCCGTCTTTTGCAGCCATTGGTGACCTGCAATGTTGATCTCAATTTCTTGATTCCGCTTTTCAGTTGTTCTGAGTCCCCTTCCTCTGTCGCCTTCAACAGTGAGTCCAGCAGCCTATCAATCGCAGATGTGCTCGATGTAGTTGGCCGATTTGGCTGTACATCAATTTGCTTGGGCAGCGGTTGCTGCTCCAAAAATGCGTCACAAACTTGTGAGCTACCGCTGCCGCCGGAAGCATTGGTGCGAAGATCTAAGGAAACCACTACCCGTACCTGCAGCATGTGTGCTCTCCCAGCACTCTTGCAAAAAAAACAAAACCAACAAACTGACATATATATATATATTAATAATAACAATAATAATAATATATTATATATATATAAATATATGTGATCCTCCACATTGGGAAAAAGGCAAGCAAAACACAATAGTTCCCATTTCCAGTGCCCAAGTGCTGCGTCCCAATCAATCTTGCCGTATTGTTCCTCCAGAACTGTCAAATATTCACCACCAACTGTAATGCTTTTGTTGTCCTGGTGTTGCTGCTCTGAAATCCCTAATACCATTTCTTTTGGTCAAATAAAACAATAACAAGAAGCTAAGCAACCACCAGGGGAACGGGGAACAGTGACGTGGTTTGTATTACGCCAGGCGTCTTTCAGCACCCGAAACATGCTAGCGTCAGCAGCAGGAAGGAATGTCCAACTTCTTCTGCCCTTCATACCCACACATGACGCCACTGCTGGAGACAAACATCCTCTGTAGACTATGGTACTTTGGCCCTGGACAAGCAACAGCTCCAAGTACTTGTCATCTTTGACATGTCTTCGAACACACCACTTCGCGGCGGCGGCTGACATGAGCTTACTGACAAGCAGCAAGTGTGAGCCCAGTGAATTCTAGATCACGTGTAGCAAAACATGTTTTTGTACTTGTACTGGTACTCCTGATTCTGAAGTCAGGTGATTTTTAACAAGAACTGGCAAGAACTATAGATATATACAGGTAATTCAGGTAATACGTTAATACAGGTATGCTTTGGTGGGTTTGGCCTGACAATGACAACTAGCTCTGGCTCTCCTGCTCTTTGTTTTTTTCACCACTCATTGTCCATGCATTCATGTGGCTGCGGGAAGCAACCTTGCTGACAGGCACCTGGGTACCCCGTCTTCTGTGTTTGGAAACAGTTTGTGAGCAAATGTGTTAGAAAAGAGCTGTTCATGCACAAAATGTTCAATTTATTCATTTGGTTGTTCCTTTTTCACCCACACAGAAAATCACTGCCCCCCCACACGCCCACCCAATTCTGAAATAGCTCAACGGAAATAGTACCCAGCAATTCAAAAAACCAACGGTTGCAAAAACACGATCGTGGCCCAGCTTGTGGGCTCTTCTGTCTGTTCTGTATTTCTACGCCCTCAGCTTGTGTGTCAAACTCACCGTCTCAGCATGGTCCGTCTTGGTATCCTGTACTCGTTGAAATAGAGAACCCTCACTCTGCCAAAATTCCGGGTTGAGGCGGTTAACCACAGCTCCATCCGTTTCTCGACCATGATTACACCAGTTTCTCCACCATCTGAGCCAAACTATCCCCAGGTTCCTCGAGGGATCTGCCTCCCCTGCTTGGCCCTGCCTCGTTCACATATCCCTTGTGCTCAGCGGCGGCCTCCGCATAAAGCCGGTGGGCATTGTTCTTCACGCACGGCGGTAAAAGGGCAGGCTGGCTTTTAAAAAAATTGGGCGTCTAAAACGACCGGCAGGTGGAAAGCCGGATCCGCGACGGATTTGTTGATGGCCAAATAGCCCGGCAGATCTTCCGGGAATAGCAACTATACAGCAAGGAGGCCGTGTGCGAAGTCCCCGCTTGGTACGGTAACGGTGAGAACGGTGAGAACCCGAACCTCCAGTTCTCCCGGCAACGTGGGTCGTAGCAACGTGGGTGGCTCAATAGTATTTTCGAAGTTTGGTTCTTGACACGCACTGTTCGCACTGATGAACTCGTTTATTGGTTCATCTATCTTTATTAATTGCTGCATGCAATATGTGGCCTGGGACACTAGAATGAAGGATTCCACACTCAAACGCTCAGCCAACTGCGCCTTCCAAAGCCTTTCGTTACTCGTCCACTGGTCTTCGGCCGGCATGAACCGAAGACCACCCCAAAAAACGAACGACGCTGAGAATGGACCCGTTGTGGAAGCGTCATTTTTCTTCCTCGATCGTTTTGTGGTTTTGTGGAGCCAAATCTGCAGGAAGAAATCCATCAAAAGGTGAACTTGGTTTGAAGCTTCTCCTCTGTAAGGAGCGCTCACGCACCCATTTCGTGCACCTTGGGATGGCTGGAGGCCCAATGATCAAAACCCATGGCGAGCTCGAAACGCACGCGCTGGAACCGCGCGCAGGAAGGACTGGTCCAGTTTGTGTGCGTTCCACGGGGTGGGGTGGTAGGGCTAGTGGTTGTCATCTGATACAGTTATTGGAGGACAAGAAGGGAAATGACAAACACATCTGTTTCCATTCAAAATGTTGTCTTCAACATTGGGGATCACTCTTTATAAGAAAAAGGACTTGCTGCAGCTCTTTTTGGTATGCCTCATGCCACTGCAAAGTACAAGTAAAAACACATTCTCTCTGTGAGGTGTAGTATAGTTTGGCTGTCACAGTAGAAATAGAATATTGGTTGACTTCACAACTGGTCAGAGTTCCTTCATGTCCTGTTTTTCCGCTTCATTTCTTCAGCCCACGGCTTTGGATCGGAGGTCCGTGTTGAGCACGTCTCTGTCGACCGTCCGCCGCGGACGGGGATGACGGGGTAGCCATCATGGTCTGAGAGGTGAACTGCAGTCATGAACACGCAAGCTGTGGTAGGAAACAGTGACAGTGCAAGCGCTGACCATCAAATGGGACGAGGCTTCTACCATGCAACTGCTTGTAGCTTTACATGGTTCAAGCTTCTGGCTTGGAACCATATTTAGTGGCTGACCTCAAAAACAAATGCTCGTAGCATCCTCGAAACTTTCCACACTTGCAGTCCCAGCCAGCAACAAAACGTCAAGCACGACCTCATGAAACCTGTTTCCCCACTGTGATCCTACCCAAACGTGTATGTCCATTTTTTGATTCGTCTGATGCTTCCTAAAGAAATGTCTGAGAAATGTCACCCAAAATAGCCATATCATCAAAGAAAGAAAACAATGCAACAAGTTGCACTTGACGAGCAAGCTGATCATTGCACCAAACATGAGGATGTTTGTTTCTGAAACAGGAACACGTGATAATCCATGCACTAATTAATGTCTGGTTTCTCTCATAGAACTGGAGAACACCAAAGCAACAAAAAGAAACTTCGTTGCGAACATGGATGTAGAGTACAGCTACCCCCACTATAGATGCTCGGACCTTGCTGCCATGGCCATGTCTGAAAACGAGCAAGACCTTATAGGACCTCACCCAGGTATTGTAGGATTTGCATGGCAGTTCGGGATGAAAACATATATGAACACACTTCAACACACGTCTGGTCAAATAAATAAGAAGTCTGGTCTTCAGGGCTCCGTCGTGCCTGAACGCAATGCGCGTTTGGTATCAGTCATACCCATCGGAACCGCCACGCACATGGTTCCCACCCTCCACCCTCCGCTGCGTCCTTTTGGGATCTCTCCGTCGGCTCGTCGCGTGGCAGAACGGACCGGCGCGTGGAAGGCCGGCGAGTCACAGTCGAGGCGAGGCGCGTCCCGTGCGTGGAATGAAAGATAGTGACAGCTTCACATAGGACATGAGCTGTCACTGACAGCTTCCCAAACAGCGCTGATCAAACATGAGCTGTCACTTCCAACCCCTCTGTTCTGCACTCTGCAGCGCGGAAAGCAGTGCAGTCGGAAGATGCCATGATCTGGAGATGCATGACTATGAGGGGATTCGCATGAGTACGGCGTATTAATGTGAAACAAACTTGCAGTGCAGCACTTTTCTTGTATCTCAGGAGGTGCCGTTCTGGGTGTCCCTGACTACAACTCCTGGGCAAATTTATGGCAAATGTATTGGTCTAGTTCTTGAACGTCTAGCACATACATCTTCCAACTTTCAGATCGAGTCATGTTCATTCCCCTTGGCTTCGCCGATCGCTGGACCTGCCGCCCTCCAGACCGGGGACCGAGTGGCCGGCCTGTTCCCCGGCGTCGGTCAAGCTGCGACGGTGTCTCCACTCAATGGCACCTGGCGACGGCCGTTCCGTCGGTCCGGTCCTGTCGGTCATTGGATCGTCACGTGGAGGATGAGGGTGTTGCGTGGAAGGGAAGAAATGCAAGTGACTAAGTCTACCAGTCAGGGCATACACTGAAACAGCTCAACCGTACTTAACTACAAATACTCAACGCCAATGAACACTCTAATGAAGATCAACCCCTGCACTTGCAAGGAACACGCATGAAGCCCCTACGGAAAACCTGACAGGTCACTTGGCACAACCAAAAGCTTCTACACCTCCCGAAAACATTGTAGCAAACCAAACTTTTCACCTGTTGGATTTCAGTGGGGCCCACTCCCCAATCCCCCTATAAAGGCGACCTGCAGGTGATCCACGCATACTTCATGATCCAAGGTGGTCAGGATTTGGAAACACGAGTTCCAACATTTAGTGGCACCCATTGAATTATTGAACTCACAGGCTCTTTTTGACGGCCGAATGGCCGCGAAACTGGGTTCATGCAACTCGCACCGCAGTTTACTTATACCTATACCCCTACATTCCCCCCCTTTCAACCACCGCAACTGATTGGTCAACATGTCAGTCTCATATACTAATGGTGTGCCTGGGTCGACCGAGGAGACCTCCTCACCCGACAAAACCGTGCCAAACCGTGGTGGTGCCGCTCTTGGGAGCGAATGGAGCCACACACGTCGTAAAGACCACATGACGACGTCTGACCTTTTCAGCCATGTCGGATTCACTACAGCAGGATCTTGGTCAACTCACATGCAAGGACGATGCAAGGACAAGCATGTACGCAATTACTTTTCAAGAAGTGCCTCGACATCGCTTCAACCAGCATCGCTTCAACCCAGTCACCATCGACCCGACATGACCCGACTGGATCGCCATGGCCTGCCTCCCGCAGGGCCGTCTCGGCACTGATCACCGCATCCCGCAACGTCAGGTGCGCTGCAATGAGCGCCGTTGGCGCCTGGGAGAGACGGTGTGGGGCGCGGTGAAGAACCGTGCGGAGCGCTGCAGAACCGTCTTTTGGGCGAGGAAAGGGAGCTGACTCTGTGCTGGAATGCATGTTTGAAAGGACTGCATAATATGTCAATTGTCTATCTAGTGTGTAACATATCATTCTGAGTAGGATGACTCTGCTATCCTGCGGGAGGGTTCATGCCACATTTAGAGTCTGGCATACCTTGATCCAGTAGTTTCAATCTGCTGTTGGATGTCCCTTTCTGAGAGATCCGCTTCTAAGCTGATGCTTTCCGATTCGGAATCGGCTGTAACAATCGCTGAAGGATCGGGTTCGTTTGCACGGGTTCATGCGCCCATCAACATGCTGCAGTTGATCTGATTCGCATTCCAACAACTTCGAGAGTTGATCTGAAGGAAGAACGGGATAAGATCTGAGATTGCAACCGGGTTTTGTTGAGACGATGCACGATTTCCTGAACAGATGTTTAAACGTATTTGCTGGTGTGTTCTTCCATCAAGAGTAGGAAGAGGCTGGTAAAGAAGCATTCAACCTGGCGTCTTTCTGGCCAGTCTACACCTATCTAAGTTCGTTGCCGCAGCAGAGATGGGTCAAGAGCGGAGAATGGATCGATGATGATACATTCCCTTCCCACTGCATTGATCTGCATTGATGATTTAACAAATTTACCTGATTGGGGTGGCTGACCTGTGTTTTTTCTTTCCACATTTTGGGATTTCGCTCGGGTGACCTGCCCTGCTCGGATGTTCTGTGAACATGTCGACGCAGTGCGGAGCACACCGCGCACGCGGGAAGAAGCCTGGAGCATGGCAGCGCCAATCTCCTCCTGGTCAACAATTGGACGGGCTGGAAGCAAGGAAGGGTTGTGGGGTTGTATCCCTAACCATGTCCATGATCAAGAAACCTGTCGAAACCTCTTGCTCACCTCATCTGTTTCACCTTTGGACCAAAGGCAACAAAAACAGCTTGAACAAGTCAGTTTTCCGTGCAAATTGAGTTAATGTGTGGACATTTCACAATGATCCTTTCGAGAATAACCCACATCGTCCGCCCAAGAAGAAGGATCACTCCCCTCAGATCCTCTCCTGAGTGAGCATTTCAGGCTCAGTAGAAGCGCTGTGTGCGAGCAACGCCGGAGGCTCTGCGGGCAGAACCGCCGGCGCGGCCACACCGCCCACGGCGCCAAAGGCCGTGGCTCGAGCGTCGCCCTGCCGACGGCCGGAGCTCAAGGGGCGGAAACCAATGAATTTTAAGGTTAAAAGAAGGGGAAATCAAAGAAGAAAAAACACATCATTGATGATCATTGTAGAAAACAAATCCGGTCTTTCTGTGTGTCTTTATCAGCACATGGGAGTGTTTTCCATTTGGGAATGTGTTCAAACATGGCGTCGCTTCGGACGTCCGGACCCAGCAAGTTCGTCCGCCCATGAGGCCAAGCCGGAAGGGATGTGAGGCCGGGCATCAGCGGAGATCGTTCCTGGGGCTCCTGTTCTAAAAGTCAGAGAGATTCACCATGATTTGAGCTCAACTTCGAGCTCAACTTCAGACCTCTTCGGAACGAATTTGGACTGCGCAGTCATCAAAACGTAAAAAGAGCGACGTAGCGAAGTAGGCGAGCTTTGGGGGGCGGGGTGCAGGATAATGCAGGTGTTCTTCGTGTATCACCCAGACACCAAACGGATCCCGGGGTCGGTTTGCACGGTTTGGAGGGAAAACCTCTTTGCGAAGAAGGATGGTAGGCACTTGCTACAAAAGACATTTTGAAGAGGTCAAGTCCAAGGATTCTTGGGTCAAAGAACATTCCTCTCGGTTCGCGTCGTTTTTCCTCCGCGGTCGCCAAACGAGGGGTCCGGGCTACAGACCGGCGACCCGCAAAAGACAGCCCCTTTGGATCCCGAGACAACAAGTGCAGTTGCTGAGGATGTCAGTTGCTGGTGTCAATTTTCCGTCCGGAATCGGGTCTACACTTCCAAACACTGCTTCAACGGTCAAGTGCAGTTGTTTGTCGACTCTTCCACTAGTGAAGCATTTTTTGCATTAACAGTCCTTTTCACCGTTGGGTGGGATCCAAGAACCGTTGAATGCTGCTCTTTTTTCATCCCAGGATCCAGTGAGCTGGGAAAACTCTTCAAATGTTTTCATGTACCTGGATCTTCATCAGCCACGATGATTTTCTCCATCTCCTGTGGTCAACATGTTGCTTGGTTATACGCTAAAAAGAATCTCTTTGATCCTTCCATGAAGATCCAGGTGATTCTTTGGTCCCAAATGAGTGAAGCAACACACTCTTTTTTTCCAAATAGCTGTAGAGTACTCTGCCAGCATGATGCTTTGGATTTATATATTATGATCTATTTGGATCTGGGGACAGTATGCCATACCATCTGCCAAATGTAGAGGAGGACATAGGAGAACATTCTTTATCTTTCACGCAGGAACCCCTAAGAAGCACATTACATGTACTCACCTGGTTGGCGGTTTCAACTCACTTGCAAAATGTTGGTCTAAAGGTTGAAAACAGACATATCTGAAACATTATGAAACGATTACATGCACTCACTGCTTTGGATTGGACAGGTTGGACAGGTGAATAAGCCTGCTCTTAGTCCTTGAGCTGTTGAGCTTAGTCCTTAGCAAGTTCCCTCATGAGTAACAGGAATGATCACCCGAGCATGCTCAGGGAAATGACAAGTACTCGATAAAACCCGTAGGCACAACAAGTATGTGCACCCAAATAGGTCTTGCCCCCCAAAGCACAGCAAAGACCGTATGGCCCAAACATCTTGCTGTGATATCCAACCGCAACAAACCACAGGCTTTGTTGGTCTAATAGTGTTCTAACTCGCGAGTCTAGTAGCAAAAGAACACTCATGCATAGTTCAACAGAAACAACTCAGAGTGGAACCCAATTTGACCGCCTCAGTTGCGTTGCCACCACTGTATTTCACCCTTCTCTATGAATTGTCCCTTCACTGAAGACGCGTGGGACGCGATGGTCATCTTTGGACCGGGCCAATGGTCATCGGCCGCGTCGATGGGTATACCCACACCGACGATTCAAGGTGGGCCTAACAAAGAATTTGAGGATACGCCAAACAATGATTGATTATACCTAGAAATGATCGAAATATATCCAAATCACACATATGAAATTTTCAGGATACCCGAATTAGAACTAATGTGATCTCTTATGGGCATATATTATATATGGATCTACTAAACCACTGGTAGATGGAAGGGGGAAGGGACACTCCCGTGGGAAACGTGAGATGGACCCTGTGCGAGCGGCCTTTTTCTTTGGATCCAGCCAATGGACGTACGAGGTGGCAATCGATATCCCACAATCACCATCAATCAACCAATGAGATAGTAGCCCCCTTGAGAGATCAAACAAAGATGGCCAAACAAACGGCTCTTTACATGGTCGAACTCGTGGAACTCTCAATGAATTGGCCGCTCCATTGCTCTCCAATGTTCATGGACCACATCCGGTAGCATCCTTTCATTCTCTATCTGCGTCGACCAATCGACGAACATGAACCAGTTCCTCAGAGAAGAAGTCTCTTAAGTCGTGCGGGTGAAATGGACCTTCAACTTGAACTGAATACAAACACATTTCACACCAAAAACATATCCCAAACACTCCGTGGGACTGGCATATTTACCTACATTGGGGTGGGAGGTCAATGTAGTCATATATTCCATACATGGAGTGTAAGTGTATACTTATATATTCTTAGAGTCTTTACAAGTAAAATATGGCAGTGTCCAAGGGCCTCAAATGAGCTGCAAACATACAAGAAAGAGTTTCATCGGGTGTTTATGTGTCTCTCCTCCTGACTGTTAATGTCCTTTAGCTCCATGACCATTACCCTCTATGTCTCTATGTGCATGCCTCAGGCAGCTCAAGCCTGGCCAATGAGAGGGGCCTTTTCGACTTGACAAGGATGCAATTGTCTCACTGCAATTGTCTCACCGGAAAATAGTACTTGCACTTACCGGTTGTTGTGGTTGCAGCAACTCGGGAGCAACAGTTCTTTTGAGGAACCCACCAAGCACGTGCTCAAAGTCAGTAGTACGTGGCATGCTTGGAATGTGGCGAGCTTCGATTCCAGAGTCATGACGTTCGAAGTTCCAAGAGACGTCGACGTCCGTCTCCCTGTTGATGGGACCATCTTCGTCCAAAGAATCGACAAGTGAGGCGACATGAGCCTGGAAGACCCTGAAGCTCCTGTAAGATCTGTAGGAACTCCCTGCAGCTTCTTAATAGTCTTAGCTCCCTCCTACTGGACACTGGAGGTCTAAATCGCTTCCATTCCGAAACATGTGGGGTCACTGGCCTCTGGAACATATTCCTTCTGAGAGATGTAGTTGAGCTCCTTCTCCAGGAGCTTGCCTTAGCTCTGCCGGAACTCTGGTTGGCTTCTCCAGCTGTTCTTGTGTCGAAGACTGCACGAGTTCGACTGTGTCTTGCTGCACGCGGGGTGGCACAGGTGGCACATCAAGCTTCCCTCAGCTCACTTCGTACACAGGGATCCACGAGTGTTGTCGTAAAACTCCATGGGGTTCAGACACTCCTTCGAACAAAAACAACTCACCATATATTCCTACTTGTAATGCTGGTGGAGTTGCAGAACCCCACCCGGGTGATATCATTCTCCAGCAAAGAGCTGTCACACCACTGGTGTAGAAGAAATTTGGACGTCATACAGCTTCAACTACTGGAAGTCCTTCAGCTAGTTGCAGCAGTACAAACATGTACAAACCACTTCCAGAGTTGAGGCCCGTCTTCGGATCCGGACGTGGAGTCCTCCTCTTCCTGTTTGCCGTCTGCAGGACTAGGACGAACAAAAGTCACAGTGGTTCTGTGACTCCCGAAGTCCGCATGAAGGAGTGGAGTGAAGAACTTTGGAGTTCAACGTAACATACGTTCGTGAGCAAAAACAACAAAACGAACAGTACAAGAACACGCTGAGACATTGGGAGACATTTGGAGTCGTCGTCTAGTTTTTTTGTTTTGCTCCATGAAGAGAAGAAGCTTCCCCAGTTCTGAAGACCGATCACCGATGATAGATCCGATCACAAAAGGAAGCTATCCACAGCTTGATACAAGTCTTACCAGGGGACTGGCTGCCAGTCTTGATATGTCTTAGATTGCTGAGCAGCTTCCCTAGGCAAGCATCTAAGCTTCAAAACATACCCACGGTCATCTATAGTGCTCCCAAATTCGATAGAGGAAAAGAGTGAATTTGCTTGCAACATGTCCTGGCAACTAGTAAAATGGTCTATGAATGTCTATAACATAGATGGGGACCCACGGACCAAAACAGCCCCCAACCTTCCGACCGTGCCGGTCCAGCCAGGCGCTGTTCCGTTGGACCAACTCCGCTGAACGGGACACCAAGCGCTCCTTCCTTCGGCGACCCAACGGTGACCCCAACGGTGACCGCGCCGTGAACTGTTCGGCGGTTCCAGCGGTTCCAAACAGCGAGGTGGGAACCGCTGTTGCTGTGGGATTGTTGGTTTGGAATTCTGATTGAGTGGACTGTAAATGCCGGCTTGGAATTTTGGACAAATATGGAGAACAATGGACGGAACAGCTATAGCCGCAAGTAGGAAGGCTGATTCCGTGTCATGAGTTTTCAAACCGAGTTCACGCTCGACTGTGGGAGTTCGTTTTTTCTGACACCATGTGAGGAAAGGCTTTGCGTGGGGTAGCTGAATTGGTAGCTGTGACTAGAAGGGGGTGTATAGCTGTGACTAAGGGGGAGTATAGCTACTTGCAATAAAACGATTCTCCATTCAACTAGCACATGGTCCTTCTGACAGAACGACAGTCCAGTGGATCGAACGGACCCTTGGTTCGTATCGATACGTGTGGAGGCACGACGACTTCGCACCGAGGTCGAAGAAGGGTGGTGAAGAACAGGTCGATCTTCTTCGGTCTATAATTGGTGACCAAGAGCTCTTTTCAGAGCTCTTGGTCACCAAACATGTAAAGAGCCTGCAACCAGTTCTCGCTGCAGCCAGCCATTTTAGCTTTGGAGACTGGAGTCCGGAAAAGGCGACGAAGACGCGGAGGCACTGTTTTGATCGTCTGAAGTGAAAGAACATCACATTCGGTGGTTTATTCTTGGGAGATTCTTCACTTTCACCTCATCCAACATGCAAGTGCCACGCCCAAACACTCCATGCAATGGCATATTTATGCATATTTATGCATATCATGGGCATTAAAGGTGCTTTCACGAGGTTCCAGCATGGCACAGACATTTCCACTCCCAAACAGCTCGTCTTTGGAACACGATCAACTTCCACCCGTGCCACTACCCTGTCTTCTTCTTCTCGCATCCGCTCTCCGGTCTCCCACCCTCGAGCGAACACCCTGGCGGTGGGCGGCACGCCAAGGGACAAGGCTGCGGAGGAAATGGCGAAGCTGCTCTCGAACTCCGAGAGGAGGCCCCGCTCGCGCGCGCCGCGATAGCGCTCCTGGCGGTGAACAAAAAAACAGCGCGACACGATGGATCATACATTCCGGAGGTGTTTGTTCTTTTTTTGTGGCAAACATTGGGTTGTGCAAATTCCGTGGGTGAATTCTGTTTTTGTTCTTTGAATATTTTGATCTTCCAAGATAGTGATGGATGGAGCTTCAATTTTGAGTCATTTTGGGGAGGAGAATTGACCTGCTCACGTTTGCCCTACATTTCCATTCAAAAACCCTGTGGTTCTTGTGGTGCATCAAATCAAAAATCGGTACAAGGTTGATACTGGAGATCTTTTTGTAACAACTCGCAAATCTTGGAGAGCACACGAGAGTAACATATTGATATATGTAGTATCATTGTAATATCAATGTGTTGTTCAAGCATGAAGCAACCTCTCAAACTACGAGTCTCACCCAAAACAGACCAATATGAAGGACAACGAGTCTCACCCTGCGGTTCGGAGTCTCCAACGCTTTCAACTCCCACGTCCGGTTTGGCCCGACGTGACGCCTCGTCTTGAGTACTGGGATCGCCGGGCGCGCGGCCCAGCACCACTGCGCTGATGTTCCTTTGCGTGTTTCAGCGTGTGAGGCGTGAGGCTTCGGTGGGTTGGAGCGGACGAAGAAGCTGGAAGATCAGCTGGAGCGCTCCAGGACGGAGCCAACTTTCCCAGTCACATGGAAGTGACAATTCGTTTATATAGAGCCAAATGGTGGCCACCCGGAGCCTATTTTTCACTTGCATGTCATAGGGAGTCGTTACTGGAGTCGTTTCTCCTGTTCTTTCTGGTGACAAATAGCACTCTGGTCGTTCAGGCTGTGAGCACAAATGAAGAGAAATCAGTCAAACGCGGTGATGCATTCTAAAATCATCGAATGATCGAACACCGCCAATCAAAGGACGACAATGACAATGCCACAAAATCAACCACGACTTCTCAGCATAGTGGCCAAATAAATGGACTCATATGGACTCCGATCTCATCTTGGACCAAAAAGCAGGGAAACAAGTAGACCACGTGACCACATCAAACAAACCGGGGAACTTGGACCCAGGACGATTCGTCTTGGCTCGAGCCGAGCTGCATGGAGGTCAGGAGCTCCGGACTGATGCTCCAGGGGGCGCCCAAAATCACATCGTCCACCCAGCGCAGCGACAGCACCTGCACCGGAGCGACCTCTCTCTCTCGGCGCCGAGGCCGGTCTGCGGTCTGCCGTTAAAACGACGGAACGTCACGTGGACGTCACGGTTCGTTTTCGGATGTTTCGCCGGTTGGCCCATCTTCTTCGCAAGAACAACATGCTTTTCTGGGTTGCTCCAGGTGAGGATGGATCATATAGGAGAACTATAGATTCAAGGAGGAGCTTTATTGGAGGAAAAAAACACCAAGGTAAAACACCAAGGTATCAGGTGTTCCAAAAGGAGTGCCTCATGGAAGTTCGGGGTACCCATGGATATACCACCCAACTCCATGTGACTCCTGGTTCCATTCGACTGAGTCGAACTCATGGTGAACCTCTCTGGCTCGGTGAGCTCCCAAACGAGGGGTGGTGGATTTGCAAAATTTGAGGGGTCTTGAAATGGACGGCTTGAGAGACAGCGCAGTCCCAAGATTAAAGATACCAGGGGCCCGAACCAAACCATGAAACATCAAGGTTTTCACATACAAACACCTATTTTGCTAGTGACAAACCAGGTCTTTGATGGGCCAATGTGGGGCTCGTCCGATCGTGCGAACCGTGTGGGCGCCGTGTGTTTGGACCTTGCCGTGCGACCTTCTCGTTCCAAGCCACGGCCAAAGCCCGCTCCAGCAGGGAGAGGATGGGCGCCACTCCCCGGTGCTGCCGTACCGTCTCATCCGAGTAGAGCCCCACGAGCCTCGGCCGCGATGGGCCGCGGCCGCGATGGGTCGCAGCGATGCGCGCCCGGTCTGAGAGGTGAACAGCGGGCAGTCCCCAGTGTATGACCCATCCATGAAGGTATATCTTCCATACCCAAACACTCCATGAAGGTATATATACCTGGATGAGCGTACGGCCCATTTTTTCTGGCCATTATGCGTATACCACGTAAGGGCTACTTTTTCTGGCCCCTTTCAGCGGTAACCCGTAACGGCCCAAAACATTGCCAAACCATTGAAGACCAATCTCCTGCTATACTAAGGTCGGCTCACAGGATTTTGTAAAAAAAACATGACCACAGAAACCGCTGAGCAATCGATCTCCAAATGTCCAAAATTTTGAATGACCCCGTATATGGGCGTAAGCCGTAACGACCCCAAAAAATGGGCAAGGCCATATGGCCAAAACTTTTTGGCCATTTGTATGTATACAGGTAAAACATGTATATATATATTTATATGCCTACATTGACCCCTCAACCCACCCCAACTGATCGGCCTCTATGCCAGTCCCATGGAGTGTTTGGGATACATGCATGGAATCTTGGTTTTGGTCTCTCAGTTTGTTGATCTGGTTTCGCTCCAAATCCCATCGGTGACCGTGGCGTGAGGCGGCATGACAGCGAAACATCTAACGGAATAATGGAACAGAAACATCTACCTGGACCTTCAAAGGGGTGTTTAATGGAGATCCCTAAGTAGTGTAGGGGCTTCCATTGGTGACCCCTTTGAAGGTGCTGGTAGCATGCACCATTGACTTGTGTGATCTTGTGTGCACCTGCAAACCGATCATTTTGGTGGGCAAACCCAATGCCTGCATGTCATACTTGCACGTCACACCATACCCCTCTCAGCGGCACGTGACCATCGAGGTGCTTTGTGCTTTCATCCAAAAACCGATGGCCCTGAGCCCTGCAGGTCTCGCTCCACATGTCTGAAGCAACTATACAGTGGTTTCAGAATACATGGCACTAGCACCCAAAGATGTCCTTGCTCCGTTGCTTCGTCGCGATGCCCCAAATGTTCCGTTCGGTCGCGTCCGTTCGCATCGCGTCGCGTCCGAGGTCTCGCGGGAGGACGAGGCCGTGGCCGTGAAGGTCCACCGACCAAACATCGAACCTTGAAAACTGGTCATGTTTGGGGAAGACAATTCCCAAAAGAGTATAGAGCTTAAAGGTCCATGCACTTCCTCAGTAGTAAGTCACTGGACTTCCAACACCCCCATCCTGCATCCCAAGTCGCAGGAAATCGCCCTGCCGTGCAGCTTCACCTCGTGGTGCAACGGATCGAGACGGTGAGGAGTTCCGAGCCTCTTTTTTGTTCCAACATCTATCCTCCGCGAGTCGCAAGACGCCAGAGACGAAGGGTCCGAAGAGGTGCGCGCTCGGTCGAAAGAACATCTATTTCTGGAAGTTCTTCTTTGTTCTGTAGTATGTAGTATGTAATAGTCATTGGAAGCTTACATAACTTAATTTCATTGAATTTCTGTATATATCTTATTAGAATTCATCCAATTCCCTCAAAACCCATGGATCGTTTGTAAGCTCTTCAGGCTTGAGGGGTTGGACATAGACTTTCAAAAGTCTGATAGTACATGAATCTTTCATTGGGAACCTGTCTGGTATGAAAGTATGCGGAAATCTGATTTGGAGAGTCCTCCAGACCTGAACCATTCGCCTCATCTGTTCAAGCTTGAACAAACCCGAATTATGCTGCTTATCTTTCTCTTTGAGTGCTTGGCAGAATTGAAACATTCACCAATCACCAATCCTGTAACCGCAGTAGCTCCCTGCGAAAGACGCAGCGAAAGATCGAGCAGCTCAGCACCGCAACGTGGCCCGGGTGCACCAAGTCAAAGATGCCAGGGACCTGAGCTCTTCAACGAGCTAAGAACGGAAAAGATTCTTCAGTTTTCCTATTTGTTTTCCCAATGGATATTGGAAACAATAAATGTTTTCCCAACGGATATGGATATTGGAGATGTTTTCCCAATGTATATATATATATATATATTAGGAATCATAAATAATGGATATCGGACATCTCCGTCTTATGCGCTTGATGTCGTCCTTCGCTTTCGTTTTGGGATGTTTTGGGCACCCTTCATGCATCTGAGTCGCATAAACCACCCGATTGGAGTCGCTCAACTGCTTGGCCTCCCTGCATGACGTGGAGCTGCTGACTCACGGTTTCCACGACTCGACCGACTCACGGTGGGCTTTGCTGAGTGGACTGATTGATGCCTAAGGATCCACCTGCCACCTCCTCAGGTTCGGTACGACGCTTGGCCTTCCTGGTGCCTGCTCACCTTCTTAGAAGGTATGCGGATCCATAGGGGATATCCATGACGTTATAAATGTGTTATATACATCTGAATGAAACCCATGATGTGCACCACCCAAGTTCCTCCAGCAGAAATCCCTCCGCACCTCTGTGCCCCCCTTGAGATGCATGCTTCAGACAACGTCTCCCTGTCTCCCTCTCTGAACTCAAGACCGCTGAACTCATCGAACCCGCTGAACGCCGTCGCACCTGCCGTCGGGCGCTGCGAACTGCGCCAGGCGCTGAGTGGTGCAAAGGGCAGAACTCAAGACCTCCTGGTGCCGTGCATCCGTCACGGATCCGCACGGATCGACCTGATGTTCACGCTAAGCAGCGATGTACGCGCAACAGTCGTGGTCAGCCACTGGGGCCGCTCGATCTTCTCCCCAATGAGTCTACACTCCCTGAATAGATCGTGATTAGGTGGATGGCATGGCCCCCAAAGAAGCACAATCTTCCAAATTACCAAACAGGTGGTGACAATCCACGTGACCATGATTGTTGCAGGGAGTGAGTCACTAAAATGGAACTGGCGTTCACCACCTGTCTTTGGTTTTCAGATTTCATGGTCATCCTTTCAGAGCGTTGGCCAATCACTTCCATCCAATTTCCTCACCAGCCACCAGCTCATACCACTGCCACTTGAAGAAAAGCGAGCCAAAGCAGCCAGCCGATCCCTTGGTGTCCTCAGCCTTGCTCCAGCCCTGCTGGCGGATGATGCGCTCGATGATCCTGAAAATGGCAGCCGACAGTCTTTCAGCCCCCTCTGGGTGATTAAACCAGATTAAAAACCACCTCATGCCAATCCTCATACATCTTGGTCATTCGATGCTTTTAACCAATGACCAACTTCAACGTGAGGTCGTCCAAGGACTTCCACTGACATCCAATCCGGCCGATGATCGCCATGGGAAACGATGTTCAGCTGCGTGCTCAATGACTCCAAACACAAGAAACGGATTTGCTGAGTCGGGTTCCGGTGAACATGTTCCCCCGATGCTCTCGGGGATTGACCCAGTTGGGGAACATCAGCTCTGGAACCAGGACAAGCAACAAGAGGACAAGCATGACAAGCACTCCTGTGTCTTGAAGGCCTGCTGACATGAGACACGTCAAAAATTGGAGGCATGAGATAGCATGAGAAGACCTCCGTTCAAAGCTCTCCGGATTGACCCCGGAGACCACTGAGACGTGCCTCCCCTGAGATCATGCATGTCTGCTTCGGGCTGCTTCCTTGTGCTTTGTGGCGCAAAACAAAGCAAATCGTCTGGACTTGATCTAATGATTGCAGCATTTTGGAACATTCATGCACATTCCCTGCAACAATTAGGAATCTGACCATCTTCACCAGATGCTCCGGTTTTCATCCACTCAAGGTGATGAACTCGAATACAACCTTGAACAAAAAAGACCGGCTGGTCCCCTTCGATCCATCCCTATCCCCTTCGAAGCCCAGTGGCTGTGTGGTCGAGATGCCTTCGGTGCGCTTCAGCACCTTGATCGGTGGGAGTGCTGGAAGAGTGCCGATTGGCCGTTCGGCGGCACCAGGAAACCATCGAGTCCCCCCCCAAAGTGGGTCCCAGAAAAGAAACCTCCTCCAAAGCGACCGGAGCGAACGAAGACGGACCTCCTGACGAACTGGGAACATCTTCCCAGTTCAAGGCACCCATGGGGCGTACCGGTCACCGTGTTGCGCAGGTGGCTCCAGGTGGACCTAAGCACTGAGGAAAAACCAGGAGAAAGAGAACCTTTGGTCTACCCATGTCTAGTCGAAAACCGTTTTGATTCGTTTCTCCATGTTTGGTCTCTCCCAAATTGGATATCGATCTTCCTTGGCGCGGAAGCTGACATCTCCATCAGATCTTTGGTGTCCCCATCTTTCTTTCAGAATGAAACCAGTCCCTGAATGAAAGCCTTTTGGATCATACAGGGTCTGTCTTTCAGAATGAATCTTTCTGTTCATACTCAGATTGATTCAGATTGATACATATGGTTCTGAGTCTGAAAGCCATTTGGATCCGATGGGTATCGGTGTCTCATGTCTCAGTCGTCTCTCGTGCCTGGAATCTCTTCTGCGCGACGGCTTCGCTGTACATGCCCTCGCCACCTGAGGTCACGACCCCACTCTGCGACAAGGAATCCGTCTGCCGTGAGGCTGCCTTTCGCCCCACTTGCGATTGCCGTGCCGATTTCATCGGGTCAAACTTGTAGGCCAAAATCATCTACAAAACACATGTGCCTTGGATTTTTGATGATTTTTCTAATAGTGTTTCTGCAACAGTTGCAGTTGTGTGTGATTGAGGTTTGTGGAGCTGTTGGCATCTAGATTTCTAGTAAGTATATAAACCACGCAGTTGTACCCTTTTCCAATTGGCAGTAGTTGGAAGAACAAATTCCAGCGACCACGAAGAAGTATCCCAAAGGCAGCTTTCGGCACAGGTCCCTTTGGCCGACTTGGTGTTGTTTGCCCCGACTGCGACGTGGATGTGGCTTGCCGGGCCCAGCTGGGCAAATGATCCCTCAAACTGCTCAAGGTAGGTAAATATCTTGGATCCGCGTAAGCAATCACAGAAGGGGATCTACCCATAGGCCCATAGGGAAAATACCAGGTTGCAAATCTGGATCCTGCATTTGACACCAGTACGTGTGCAATAGGAAACAGCAATAGGAAACAGCACCCGCTCCTGCCTTTGCAAATGGGCATATCGTCGCCGTGGCAAATGTATCTCACACGGAGCCTGACCGGCCCAGTTTTGAGTGAAGGAAGCACTAGCTTCTTGTTCCTAGTAGTATGGCCAGGAGCCCCTAGTAGCTTCTTGTTACTAGAAGCAGGAATGCTCCTAGTAGCGATGCCAGCAGCCCCTAGTAGCGTCCTTGCTCCTAGTAGCGATGCCCTTTGCTCCTAGTAGCGTCCTCTACACGGGTTTACAACCACTTCTAGATGATGCAAATGGCGCAAAACTTTCCTTTTGGAGGTTGCTCAAGCCAAAGGAAAGGATGCTCAAGCGCGGCAAAGCTCAAGCACGACTCAAGAAACTTGAGTGTATTCTGACAATAGGGTTTCGCGCTGCTTGACTTTGTGATGTAAGTGGCAGTCGCATTTCCCAAAACAGGAATACATTGAAGTCGAGCGGCCTCTTTGAGGGCTCTGACAATTCTTCTCGCAATTGCGGTGGAGTTTGCCAAGAAAGTAGCGTCTTTGATATAGTCCCCGTCAGCAAGTTTAAGTTTTGCTCTGCATTGGTTTGAGACCTGTTCAAGAAAGTTGAAGGGAGTTGACAAATTAATCAGAGTCCTTTGAAGTCTGAAGGCATCTACTTTGTCCAGTTCTTGTGTGTGAGTTGGATAGTTGCGGCCGCACATAAGCCTTGATTGTATGCTTTCAAAGGTTATTCCTGAGAGAGGCTCTTTCTGCGTATTTTTCGCGCGCCACTCCGTCTGTTTGTTCTGCCCGCACGGCACTCTGTAAACGTCGCGCGGATCATCCAATGATATGGATGTCGACAAGTCGTGTGTCCTCGGAGTCTGGAGACAAACACGATTCTCCCTCACGGCACGTGAGACGGTGACTGCGGTGTTTTCGGCATACCCAAGGCGGGCATCATCGAGTTGTGGTCTGAGACACGGTCTGATTTTCGCAAGCACGGTGCGCCTTGACACGTGATATATTTGTTGCCAGTGTTTGGTACCGGTGTTTTTCTATTGGTCTCTTTTGCCTGGCGGCCCTTCTTTTTCAAGGAAGGAGAAGGAACGTGTTGAGCAATGCTCCCCCGAAACGTTGGCTATGGCATGCTATGGCTACAATTATTTCCTGCTGGACTGCCTCAGTTTGATCGGAACTGAGAGCGTCCGCCTTCTGCTGTGGGTTCCTGTGCATCCTTTTCCTGAAGCCATGTCCCTTCTGGTCTTCTTAACCCCTCGTCCGTCTTGGAGGAGTTGATTTTTGATTGATCTGGGAGGCGAAACCCTAGGTCACTCCTTATTTTTGAATTGGGTGCCTTCCCTTCCTGGACGAAAAAAGGCGTGATTTTGTATCCTTCAGCAGCGACGCAGGTAAAGCATTTGACAGTAGGTGTACCCTAGTATTCCAACCAGGATTGATTTAATGGCTTTTAACGAACAGCAATAGTTTTATGTTGGGCAGTGGCAGCCATACATGACCAACCATCATTTTTTTGAAAAAACGAAAAAGACAAAACAAAAGCACATGAACATGCAAAAGCAGCGCAATTTGCTTTGTTTTTGCATTTGGTTTGTTTTTTTGCTTTTTCCCTGGTACCACTTCTGCACTTATGAGAACTTTTACCCGTCAGCAATATTTGCTGTACCCTCCTAGGAAAAAAGCGAAAAACATTGCGAACCAAATGCGAAAAGCGGACTTTTCTTGAACCTCAAAGGCCTCATGCGTAGAGTTCTGTACATGTTTCACTTGGAGTTGAGTGGTTTTTGTTACGCACTCCTCCTTGGCACTTTGCAGCCTTCAGCTTACAGTGCCATCTTCTTAAAATGGGACTTCATCGCTGTCCATGAAGTTCATGTGTTTCTCCATTCGAGCATACATCTCCGTCTTGCTTTCGTGTTCTCCTCGTTGGTTGAGTTCAAACCACCTTTTCTCAAACTGCAAGGCGTATTGCTTTGCTCTCAAGCAAGAACGCGCTCCAGGAGTGTCATACTGCATCACTTCATGGATCTCAGCGTCCGTCAGCCACTTTGTTGTCGGCTTTGACAGGGTGAGGTCCTCATATTGTTGTCCCTCATTGTTGTTGGTCCCTGGAACATCTGATGACCGCCCAGGTTCTTCATCTTCTTCCGTAGGTGTTGGTCCCTCATCTTCACTTTCTGGCTCTCTCGGCTGCAAGTCACCTGCTCTCACGGTGACAACCTCTCCTGAATCCAGTCGAACTTGTACTTCATCGTCTGGATCATAGTCACCCTCTTCGCTCTCTTCAGCCGTCAAGGTGTTGTCTCTGATGTTCAGATGGAGTCTTGTCTGAGCTACATTTGCCTGGAGATATGCTTTGACCTGACCATCAAGTCTTCTCAAGTCAAACTCCCTGTTGGTGTCTTCAATGTAGCTCCAATGCCTCCAATCGTCCTCACCGAACTCCTTGTCATCGACATAGCCAGAAGCTTTGATCAATCCTCTGTGTACACGCTCCACGTAGTTCTTGAGCTTTGTCAGCTCTGCTTGAGCTTCATGACCATACGCTCCAACCATCATGCCGTTCACTTTCTCATCATCCGCCACGCTCTGAAGTCTGGCTTCCATTTTCTCAAGCTTCTTCCAGAGCTGGTAGATGAACAGGATCATCACAACGATCACCATAACCAAGATCACAATGAGCAACTTCATCCAGCCGCTGCCTTGCTCAGTAGGTGTAGTCACGTCAACTTCACCTCTTTCCCCAGCCACGTGCTCAAGGCCTTCGAGAAGTAGGATTCAGTTCAGCAGCTTTGCAAGTCTCTGGATCTTGCTTTTGCTCACTGCTCTCTCTTCGAGGTTGTAGTGCTCCTCCTGACCAATCCTCTCACCATTTCCATTGTACATCTGGCACCAATGCAGAAGGAGATTCACCCTTGCTTTCGGCAGTGGTTTCGTGCCCAAGTCGGCCACATTGGAAACAGTTCCTACTGCTTTGACTTCAAGACTTCCTTGTGCCACCATATCCTGGATCCACAACAACTTTCCAGCAATGTGTCGAAGTTTGCCTGGACCCTTTCTGTGGCATAGATGAAGTGCCGCTGGGTTGTCAACCAAGCAGTAGTGCATGACCTCCTCCTCAACAAGGAACTAAAGACATCTTTTCAATCAGATGCCATCTGCCGCTCCACTGACTAGTGCGTTCAATTCGGCCTCTGCTGAGCTCAATGACACTGATTTCTGGCCGCGAGAACTTGCCAGCATGACTGCTCCATTCAGCATGTGGATCGCCGCTGAAGTGGATCTTCGATGTCCTTTTGCTCCTGACCAATCGCTGTCAGTGAATGTCTCCAGCAGCCATCATGTGGTTGTGCTTCTTGTTGAATGTCCATGACCAGGATCTGGATACGGCAGTAGACTGTACTGTCCGATCGTGCCCTTCAAGTAGCCTATCAGCTTTCCCAACTTCTTCAGGCTACCGGTCGTGGGTGCAGACATCGATGAAGCCAGCTCCTTGATGGTGAAAGACACATCCATTCTTTCCTGAGACAAGTAGATGCCACATCCAACCAAAGACCTGTACATGCTCGACAGCTCTCCGTTCAGCAATGTCGTGCCATCAAATTCCAGCATCTCTGGTCCACACGGCAACTTCTGAATTTTCACTCGTCCCATCTTCTCCTCATACTGTTCCACCATGCTTTCAGCATACTTGCCTGGCAGGATTTTGAGTCCTTCTTCTACTTGCTCATATGTCCTCCTCAGGAAGGTGAAGGTCGTGCCATTGTCAGACAAGTGCTGTTCTGAGATGTCAAATCTCTTCCGAATGTCCAGGAGGAAGGTGTTCTCCATGTAGTCCTTGGTACTCACGTACATCACATCATCCACATGAATGAGAACCATCATCTGCTCATCCTTCCGGCCTAAACATGGGTTGATGTCCGAGAACTTGAAGCCTCGCTCCTTCAGCCAATCTGTGAAGTAGTCGAACCATGCTTTGGCTCCCAGGCGTTGGCCTGGTAGGTTCCTCTTCACTTCATAGTACCCACGAGCTGTCTGCACTTGCGTAGGTTCTTCCTGGGGTACTTGAAGGAAAGCATCTTTGACGTCCATTGAACCCAGCCAATAAGGCTCACCTCCACTCTTTTCCTCCATCTTCTTCGTGAGGTAGATGATAGGAAGTAGGCGTAGTGTCTGACCGCCTGTTGCTGGGCTGTGCACATCATCTCGTCTGTCCACAGCGTACTCTCGTGCCACCAATCTTGATCTTCTGAGGAACTGTTTGGGCGAGTTTGGAAGATCAGGTCGGGGCTTCACTCTCCAGTCTCTCACGAATCTGGTGGTCAGCTTCTTGAATCCAACCTTCTCCTCTTCCATCTTCTCCAGCACTCCCATGCTCAGAAGTCATCGATCCAGAAAGGGGGATCTGGTGGCACCCTTTCCAATGAAGCTGAAGACCATAGCTCCTCGGGTATTGACACCTTCTGGGAGACTTCTTCTTCTTCTTCTCCGCAGGCTAAGATCTCCTCTTCTCCGAAGAACTGGTCCATGTGGTAGTAGGTGTCTTGTCCCACTGCTGTGGCTTCTACTCTTCTCTCCATCTGTGAACTGCCTCCGGACGTCCTCAATCTCTTAGGTTCAGACATTTCTCCTTCACTCTCATGCACGGGCTTCACCGGTGTCACCTTCAATCTTTTGGAGTCTTCCTCACCTCCATCAACCTCCAAACTCATCTTCTGAGCTGAACTCCTGGGAGTACTCATCGGCATAGAAGGTCCAGCCTGGTTTCTCGCTTCATCAATGCTGTGGGCATCTTGAGCTCTGGTCTCTGGGATGACGATCTTCTCCTCAACATAGTCCTGCTTCTTCTCCTCTGCTAACTTCTGCTCTTCAGTCAGCACCTCCTGCTCACCGGGCTTCCTTTGTGCGACCTCCACCAAATCCTTCACTTCCTCCAACTTCCCAGCATAGGATTTTGAGAAGGCTATGATTTCACGGGCATCATCATCGTCCAGAGCTATGCCCTTCGTCTCAGCCGTTGGAAGTCCAAGCAATGGTCCACCAACCATAGTTGCCACTCGCTTTGAAGGCACAATCCTACCTCCAAAGTTCTGCTGGAATTCCCATGAGTAGGCGGTGAAGGCCTGGTAGCAAGCCACATAGCGAGTGCTAGCATCGGCAACTCTCCTCAAGGACCTGCTCAAAAACACTCGGTTTCCATCTCCGATGACCCATGCGTCCTGCACTTCAGTCTTGCCCAGGCAGATTCCTACTTTCCACCTTGGGTCGGCCTTGAAGCCCTGCTTCTGCTTGGAATAGGCGAAGACCACCTCTCCGAAGGGACACATCTTTCCATCATAGGCCTTTCCATGTGTCAACTCGAAACTTGTGGTGCCTCTCAACACTTGGTACCTGTTCAGCGTCCAAGCTGCATGTCGACAAGCCCAGGACCACAAAGGATGTTGGTGATGAAACCTGAGCCCGATCTTTTCAGCCAAGCTCTCCATCATGGAAGCAGCAAGACCTCTTACTCGATGTACTGCATTCTCAGCCAAAGAGTTCCCGGCTGAATCATAGAGCTTTGTTGTTCTCATAGTTGTCTTCAACCCCATAGCCGTTCGTGAGGAGACCAGAAGACGAACAATTTGTCTGGCTGGTGGCTCATTGTCGCAGTAGTACTGCGCAGCTTCATGTCCCAAAACTTGGGTGAAGGCCAGCAACTCATGGGTGATGAGGTTCATTTGGTTCTTCGATTTCAATGGAAGACCCAACAATGACCCCGTCTCTGAGCACACAGCAATCAGCCAGAGTGCACCGCTTTCTCCATCATGGACACCCTCTTGGGCTTGATCCTCCTCCTCAGCGCCCAAAGCTTCCGAGCCTTTTGCTTTCACTTTGCAAAAGTCGAACGAGATGGTGGGGTAGCCCTGATCATGCGACTTTCCACTTCTCCGGCGCTGGTCTGGTCGTGCTCTATGTTTGATGCAAGCCGGACACCAAGAGGCGTATGGGACGTGTGTCAGCTCGTGAGCTTTCCTCTCAGCTTCTGTTGGGAGTTTAGCTGCAACTTGTTCAAGCGGAATTCGCTGACTCATAGCTTGTCCTCTTGCAGCCAAATCTCTTGCCATCATCAGTTCAAGAGCTCCCTGATGGGCCACCAGTCTGCTAAAGCACTTCTGCTTGCCTCCGCTTTGGCCAATCTGGTAGAAGGCGCAAGCTGCTCTCAAGCTCCTTAGTGGACTCTCCAGCGTCAGAGTCACATCATTCACCCTGATCTCTTCCGGGACAGCCACTCCAACTTCATATTGGACCATCTGGTCATCAAGGTCACGGCCTTGCTCTCCACCTTCTCCACCTGGGAGCTCAGCTCCTCCAATGTCCTCGAGCTCCTCGTCGCCAGCTTGAGGGATAGCCAGCTCTTCCATGTCTTGCTTGGGACCCAATTGGACTGCACTGTCAATCTCAAATCCAAACACTTCAGGAACCGTGCCTTCTGGAGCCACAAAGGTCATCACCTTGCTCAGACCAACTTCTCGAAGCTCTTCGATTTCCTCCTCTTGCTCTTCCAGCCCGTCCAGGGGCTCTGCCATCTCCACAAATTCCCAACCTCCAGATCGTTCTACAAGGGTTGACCTGCAGAATCCTTCACCTTGATCACGGAAGCCAGGAATGAACTGGGGGCTTTGAAACTTGGTGCTAAGATGCAACCCTACCCAAAATTCCTCTTTCTTCTTCCATCCATAGCCACTGTTGGCCATGTTTGCCAGCTCATCTCCAAGCTTGACTCCCAGCGTGCGAATCACCATGGGCTCTGTGATGACTCGAATCGAAGCGTCCACCACCAAGCTCTGATTCTGAAACGCCAACGGGACCTCCAAGCTTCCATTCTTCAGGCAACTCTTCTGTCCATCAATGGACCACCCACTCCTCATCAAGCGACCAAAGGAGAGGATCGGTTGGCTCACCATGTCACTAAACGTGACTTTCTCCTTCAAGACCACTGCTTGGCCACTGGACGTCATCATCATGATATCCACATCCTTGTTGCCATAGCTTTTGATCTTCTTGCCTTGAGCATCTTGCAGTTGGGGCGCTTCTTGCAATGCCCTGCTGCTCAACGTGCTCTCGAGGAACTTCCCTGGGAAGATTGATGCATCTGCACCTGAGTCGACAATCACTTTGACAGACTGCCTTTCTCCACCTTCTTCGTAGAGCTCCAAGTTCACCTCCTCATTGTCGGTCTCGACTACCGTGTTCGCCATGTAGCCGTCATACTCATTCTCATCATCTGAGGCGATGTTGAAAAATTCAACTTGGCTCACCATTCGAATTGAACCAGCATCACTCCCTTCTCTCAAGTCGAAGATCACTGGTTGTGAAACCCGCCTGATGTTCTTGGCGGTCGAATTCTCACCACCTCCACCACTTGTTGAACTCGTCGTCAAAGTAGTCGAGGGTGAAGTCGTGTGCGAACCTGCAATGCTCTGAATGGCTGGGCAGTCTTTGGCCATGTGGCTGGGTTTGCCGCAGGTCCAGCACACTTCACTGGGATTCTTTCCCTTGCCACCTTTTCCTTCTTTGCCACCCCCACCCTTGCCTTTTCCTTCTTTTCCACTGGATTTGCCGCCTTTGCCTTTGCTCTTGGACCTGTCGTCCTTGCCCTTTGACTTGCCCTTCTGGTCTTTAGACTTGCCCTTTCCTTTCTTTCCATCACCCTTGATCCTGTCGATCTCCATTGGCATAACACCGTTTGGATCAGTCGCTGTTGGGCTCACTCCAGAAAAAGTCAAAGCACCTGACTCATTCCACTTGGTCGTCGCGGTGTCAAAGGCGATGATTGCTTCTCTGATCTTGCCATAGGAACTGCCTTCGTTCAGGGTCAAGTTCAGATGAGTCTTCATCTGGCCGGACACGGCCCTGAGCAGGACAGCCGATTTCATGTCCTGGGACAGCTTTCCACCAAGGCGTTCATACTGCACGTAGTGTTCTTCCAACTTCAGGATTTGAGGCAGCAAAGAACTCCGCATGTTGAAGCTCGGATAGGACATTATGCCCTGCAGCAAGCTCATGGTTCTGTTTCGGGCTTGAGGCTGACAATTCATCAACAGCGGTCTGAGGGCTTCCATGCCGTTGAACTTCTCCACGTTCTAACTCCTGTCGACCTCCCTTGAACCAAACTCCCCAACAAACTGTAGAGGAATCGACTCCGTTGCTGCTCGCCTTCATCAAAAAGTTCCCAATCCACCTCTGTTGCAGAGTTGGCCTCAAGCTTCTCTAGCTCCTCCTGAAAGGCACTGTCCACCACCACCAAGTACTGTTTGATGGTCCAGTACCAATCTCTCCACTGCAAAACTTCCTGCTCCCTGTCGAGGGGGTTGAACGGGCTTGGCCTCGGTAACAACTTAGCCAGATCCTTCTTCAACACTCCGTGCTCTTCACCTGATCCTCCAGCATGCCCACTCGACGCCGCCGCCTGTGCTGCTTGGGCAGCGGCTGTCGCAGCAGCTATGACTGCTTGTGCCAGGCCGCTCATCTCTGACTGGTCCATCTCTTCCTGGTGCTCTCCACCAGCCTCCTCAACCAGCAGTTCGTAGACCTTCTCGAAGTCCAAGGGGCGTCAAAGGCAAGGATCTTCTTCAGGTACTCTCAGGCAGGGATTGCGAGCAAATGCTACACCAGTTCATGGGTGGCTAGGCGGGTGGCGCACTTACCCAAAGGCCTTTAAAGTAGGAGCTCCAGCTGACACCAAAGGGGTGCCAGCCTTCTCAGCTCCGCTACCATGCGGACTTTTCTTGAACCTCAAAGGCCTCATGCGTAGAGTTCTGTACATGTTTCACTTGGAGTTGAGTGGATTTTGTTACGCAGAAAATAAAGCGAACAAAATGTGAAAATAAAGCGAAACAAAAGTGAAAAAAAGCGACAAATACGCACAGCTACATTTGTTTGCTTTTTGTTTGCTTTACCTTTTGCTTTTTGTTGCTTTGTTTTGCTTTATGAAGTTATTTTGGCTCCTTGTATCTATGGCTGGCGTGCCCGACACAACAAACAATTGTCAAGGATTCCAGACTACAAAACCAGGTCAGCCTTTCTTTTTATGGCCTTGGAAGGCTTGCGGTATATGTAAAAAAGACATACAGGTGGTTGTATCATCTTGTTGTTCTTTTACTTTGTGTCATTGTCAGACAGATCCCATGAACACTCCAGGAAAAAACCCTGGGGTGTGCAGTCGCGGTCACAAGCTCCTGGAATTTCATCGACAGCAACAAAAAGCTTTGCAAAGGAAGCAACAGTTTGGGGGAAGGCTACAATTAATGGCACCTTTAAGAGCATGATTACTCTGTAAAAAAGAACATGCAGCACTCAAATCAGCATCTTTCTCCGTTCTTCCCTCTCCGTTCAAAACCCTTTGCAAGAGTACCGTGGCATACCGCGGCCTGTCAGCCATCTTCACAGACATCTTCGTGTAGGGCAATTGCGTGACGAGCCTCGGGGATGGTGAGCCGAGGAACCCACGGACATGGCAAAGAGTCGGGACAAAAACTCTCGCCTTCCCTTTCTAGTCCCTTAATGACTTCTTTTAATCTTCTTTCTTTAATATACGTAAGGGTTTCCGGCCTGGTTAAACCCCACGAAAAGAATGGACTCTGATTTCGAATCAATTCTGATAAAACTCTATATGTCATGTGGACTGTAAAACCGCCACAGTGGCGGTTTGACACAAATCAACCGTCTACATGAGCCCTCGACTGGCTGAAATCTCTTCGTCTCGTCGCTGAGCCCCCGACTCGTCCACCCACTTGGTCGCCGCGAGAACCGCGATTCCTCGAGAGGTCTCGTCGTGAGTTGTTGGGAGATGAAAAGAGACATCAAACAGGACAGAACAAAAAGATCCATCTTGTTTGAATTGGAGAAAGGATGGACACATGCTGAGTGATGGTACTTGTTTCAGTGTGCAGGTATATTCAACAGTGGAAAAACAAGCTCAGTCTACACCTGCAGGATGACTCTTTTAGAGCAAGAGCATTCATTCCAAAGGCAAATGGTTTTTGAGATGTCGGACACAGGAGTTCCCTGAGGACCACCAACAAAGATTGATGAACCGCATACCCCATGGTCCCCATGGTCTTGTAAGGTCACTTAATCTCTCGTGGCAAGTCAGGCGCTCAAACGAACCTGCCGCAGCCCATCGGAGACCCGCTGAAGCAATGCACAAGCATCCCACAAAGATAGTAATGCACAACCCGTTCAGAGAAACACCCCCCCCAATAATTACTCCGACTCCTATGTCTAAAACAGTTTGATAATTAAGTTATACATGAATTATTCACGAATTAGATAATATATATATATATGAATATGATATGTGTTCTTCAAAAACGCATCGCTTCGGTTAACCGCATCGTCTCGGACTCTTCTCGGCTTTGGTAGCCGAAACGAGTGAAACCCGAGAGGCTCTCTTCGTCGGACATCATGGGAGGGCCCTTCTGCTGACCTGAGGCCGATTTTGCGACAACCCTGTCTTGGCGGTCTTGGTTCCTGTTTCTGTCTCCGCATCTAGAGAAATCCCTCCTGTGAAAAAAACATTGACACACGTGCCATTCCACCCGGACAGTTGGATAATTGGGTTGATGAACACCTCCGAGAGAAAACCTAAGTGGGAGGGCAGCAGTCTGGATCCGATGTGACACATCCGGTCTACCTCAGTCAGGTTTAAAACACCACTTGGGCGTGTGTTTTATTCTGGAGATCTGGCAGGTCAACTGGTCTATTTGCCGTACCTTCCAGGGGGGTCTTCCACGCCTGGGAGGTCTGCCTATTTTGATGCACGCCCACGTTCACAGTCCATCTCCCACCATTTTTGAGGTACTGGCGGGTCAGTGGCCTGAGAACTCCAAGGAAAGCCGCCGGAAAAAGGTCCGGTTTGGTGTAGGAACCCATGGAATCTGAAAAAGGTGACAACTAGATAGATTTATACCTGAACCTCAAAGACTTAAACTAATGGAGGTTCACTTCTGAAATCAAAGACTTAAACCTGAACTCAAGAAGTGAACCCAAGGACACTAGAACCTGAACAGAAAAAGAGCCGTGCTTTGCAAAACTGTCTGGGTGTCAATCCATCAAATCTACTCAAAGTAATGCCAATCTCACCGAGGTCATCCCTCAGATTCCGTTCTGGACACAGTTCCCACCATCCCACCGCATCCCGACCAGGTTCACCAGTCTTCCCGACCATAACCTGAAACCCAGCAGAATCGTTTGGTACAGGACCAGCATTCTTGAAACCCACCTTTGGACTGGAGACTTCTTCGTTTTTTGCCAAAATCATGGTTACTATTACGCGGATGGCATGACCCTCCATGAATTCGATCATTGTCAGACCCAACAAGTGGTGCCATGGACTTCCAACACTTCTGATCTCAAAACGTGTTCCACTGGTTTTGATCCGTTTTGATCCGTTTTGTGGACCGTGCCTCTATCGTTTGCGCGGACCCCGCCGCTCGGACCCCTCCGGTGTTTTCACCGTCCATGGCGCAGATCGCGGCATCGGAGTGGATGCCAGCGACCATGACCACCTGGCGCGCGACGAGCGGGACCGAGCGGGACCGAGCGCTGCCAGGGCGGTGTGAGGCCGGACCGATGGTCCTGGGGATCGACCGACCCATAAAGGATTTCAACACATGCATATCTAATATATAGGAATTGCTTATGATATGACATGATTGGTTGAAGAACCTGGTGTTGCTAAGGCCTTCTCATGAAGTTCGAAACTAGTTGTGAAGAGATTGTTCTTGCTTAGTGCGCGCATTGAGGCGATGAAGGCATATCCAACAAAAACAATGTGATGAGAACAATGTCCCACATTGCGTGACATGTTGGGCATCTGAAATGTGAGCTGTTGGGGAGTTCTTCCCACTAAACTCCAAACATTCAAAACACCTAAACACCTTGATCTCTGGGACTCCCGGTCTCGTCGGACTCCTGGTCTCCACCACCGCACCCGGGCCTTTTGAAACCCAAGCTGGTAAAAGAGCCGCTTCGCTTGCCGGAGCGCGTTGAAGTGTCCGACCTACAGGACTCGAGAGGGCAAACAGATCGGAGAACAAATATAGGACCGGATAACCCCACATGTTAACAACTTAGCAAGAGACAATGTCTGCAGTTGATGACAATTGGTTGGTGGCCAACCAATTGTCATCAACCGATTGTCAAAAACCTATTGCCACCCACCAATTGCCACCCACCAATGGTCACCAGCCAACTGTCACCAACCAGCTGTGACAATTAGTTGGTGACAACTGGTTGGTGACAATTTGTTGGTGGTAGTTGGTTGATGACGGGAGGCAGGAGGAGTTGGGAGGAGGCGCTGGGCAGACCCAGCAGCACCGGGGCAGCACCGGGGCGTACATCCGACGCCCTGGAGAGAACTTAAAATACCGCGCCTGCCACACAAATCACAGCGGCACAGCGGCGGAGACCCAGCAGCACCGGGGCAGCACCAGGCAGCACCGGGGCGTACATCCGACCCCCTGGAGAACACCAAAGTACTGCGCCTGCCACACAAATCACGGCAGCACAGCGGCGCAGACCCAGCAGCACTGGGGCAGCACCGGGCAGCACCGAGGCGTACATCCGACCCCCTGGAGAACACCGAAGTACTGCGCCTGCCAGCTGGTGGCCGTGCCTGTGCGTGCAAAGGAAGCTTTGCCACCTTGGCGAAGACGCTGGAACTGACCGTTTTGGCAGCGCGGCTCGATGGCTACATGGTGCTTGGAAACAGCCGCTTGGCTGTGAGTCAAGGTGGAATTGAATTGAAGCACATGTTGCAGCGTCACGTGGCAACGGACAAACAGGCAGAGCATGTCGAAGGCGCAGAAGAATCGCATCCCGCCCTTTCAAGACAACCGCCAGGATCGCATGAAGATGAGGCTGGGTGAGATTGGACCCACATTTGCTGACGATGAATATGACCAATACGACCAATACCCATCCAGGGCGCATATACCCTGGAGCGTGTAGGTATTGGAATCATGCGTGGACAAGACAGCGGGCTGGGACAATGATTGACCTTTGCGCCGCTGTGCCGCTGTGAACATGCGGGCGCTCCGGGTTTCCCAAGCTCCACACACAGCATAATGATTGGTTCCATACCATGTCCGACGACCGCGTGGTGTAAACCCCACTGCCAAGCAGAAAGTCTAGAGATTTAGACGCATTGGCGTCCAGAGAGGTGATGGTGGTGATGAAGGTGGGGATCGTGGTGACTGTGACGGTGAGAGTGAGAGTGAGATGAGAGTGAACGTGAGAATGAGTGAGTGAGTGAAGGGGTGAGTGAGTGAAGGAATGAGCGAGGTGAGTGAGTGAGTGAGTGAGTGATGGAGCGGAGTGGAGTGGAGTGGAGTGAGTGTGTGTGTGTGAGAGTGAGAATGAGTGAGTGAGCGAGCGAGCAAGCGAGTGAGCATCGAGCACAAAGCGCTGCACCTGCCACCTGCACTTCAAGATTCACAAAGCGCTGCACCTGCCACGAAATCTGCACGTCGAGGTCGAGCTTCACAAAAGGCTGCATCTGCCCTCGAAATCTGCACTTCGAGGTTCACAATGCTGCGCCTGCCACGAAATATGAACTTCAAGATTCACAAAACGCTGCGCCTGCCACGAAATCTGCACTTCGAGGTTCAACAAAAGGCTGCATCTGCCCTCGAAATCTACACTTCGAGGTTCACAATGCTGCGCCTGCCACGAAATATGAACTTCAAGATTCACAAAACGCTGCGCCTGCCACGAAATCTGCACTTCGAGGTTCACAAAAGGCTGCACCTGCCCTCGAAATCTGCACTTCGAGGTTCACAAAGTGCTGCGCCTGCCACGAAATCGGCGCTTCCAAGTTTACGAAGTGCTGCGCCTGCCACGAAATCTGCACTTCGAGGTTCACAAAGTGCTGCACCTGCAACGAAATCTGCACTTCGAAGTAAAGCCGCTCCGATCTCTCGCACCTGTCACGAAAAGTCGACTTTGGACCACCAAAGCACGAGGTTTCCCTTGCGCCTGCCATGATCGCCATGTGCGAAAATGCGCACGGCACCACAACGAGAGCGCAAGCACCCGCGGACACCAGATTTTGCGAGCCTGCGCAGTCGAAATGCACGTCGTTGATTACGAGAGGCGTGAATGTACTGTAAAGAGCAGCAAATTAGCCGTCCACGCCCGCGCCGTCACCTCGATCTAGCCCTGGTGCTTAACACCTACCGTAAGAACCCCTAAGTGTGTCCACACTGTTTGGGGAACTATAACAAATATCATAGATCTGGTACTTCTAAATAGTTATAACCGAAAAGAATCACACCAACATCATCAGCAGTGCATTTCAGTGCTCCCGATAAGGTCTTGTCCAAGCTGCCAATCCACAAGCTGACGGGAGCTTCAAGACCCCAAACACGATGTAGTTTTTACATCTTTGTCTTGCCACTGAAGGGAGAGATTGTGAATCTTCATCAATTTTCTTGCCAACACACCTGGTACCCGGCTGTATCGACACGTCAGCCATGGGAGATGTCCGGGTCGAGGGACTGGAGCGGTGTAGAGATCGAGACACACTGAGGGACCGCCCCCAGACCATCCATGTTACATCATGGATGCTAGTGAACATGAAGTAGCATGTAGTAGACCCTAATATAGTTACATACATTCACCCCATGTAACACATTTATCTTAACAGAACTTACCATTCACCCCATTCAGGACCCATCCACGTAGGTCGGTTCCACATCCTATTTCCATAGGATGCAAACCAGTTGCGGTGCGGCCCGAGGGACGTGCATCAAGTCGAAGCATCCGTTCAGGAAGATCCGCACCTCGGTGGAGCGGTCCAGTGCGCTTGAACGAACCGGAAGAGGAGAGGAGACGGCGCCCGAGGAGAGGGCCCCGGTCCGGGTGGGAGACCGGGTGGGGTGCTCCGTGGGTTGAACTGATGATCCTTGTTTAAACTCCTTGCAAGGATGTTTTTCTATGTTGACACTCCCTGCGAAAGATGATGGTTACATGGACGGCATGGCCCCGAAAGGACAACTATGTTCCGAATACCAAATGGTGCCATCCACTTCCATGATGATGATTTCGGGGAGTGTACATATATTTATATATATATACACCGGGTGATGGGTGACAGTTTATCATTCTGGCCAAAACAGGAAGTCACAAATCTTGTCCACCTCATTTTGTTGGAGCAGTCCTCCGACGCGAACATGTTCCCCTATTTATGTGCCAAAATGTTTGGCCAAATTGCCTTTCAGCTTGAAGTTTTCAAGGGGTTAGCGAACCGGACCCATCAGAACGTCAAGTTGGCGCATGAAAATGGTTTGAATTTGTTGGCCCACGGAAGACCCCCCATGATCCGCGAACTTAGCGAGATCCCAACCCCAAACACTCCATGTATGGCTGTATGGCATATCTGAACCTGCAGGGTCAATGTAGGTAAAGACCCTAGGGCTCCAACTACCTCCTGAGAAGGTGGTTAGGGTGAGAAGGGGGAGTCTAACCACCTTCTGAGGACATGGTTGGAGCCCTAGGAATGTGCCATACACAGGGTGTTTGGGAACTTTGTGGTGTCCATGTTAGTAAGGTCCATGGTGTCCATGTTAGGTTAGTTTTGGAACAAATGTGCTTTTTACATTTCAACATGGTCTTGGACTTAGAGGTCTTGTAATAGGTGTTCATGTTAGTCAGGTCCTGTTATCAATTTCTGTGCGTCAATGAACTAGTTGGAGAGCTAGGGCCTATTTACAGGAGCGGACGAGTCCAGGTCGGGAATTTGCCATCACATGAACACCGCAATCTTATTAGTGGGGCTAAGCTCACCAAAGAGGGAAAGAAACCAGGGTCTCGACGTCATCAATTCTTAGGAGTACTAGGAAGATTACAAGTCATATAACAATACATATTACACTATATTACACCTATAGGAAAAAACAACTGAACATAACTGAACATATATGTTTTTAGCACACGTCTTCATCAGCTACGACCCAAACATGAATCGGAATGCGGCGGATTCGATTCGTCGCCGCGGTGCGGTGGCCGGATCCTCCGCTTGCCGTTGCACGGTCTCCAGTGGCGGCCGGTGCCAGCGGAACTGGAGCCTCAGTGACGTTCCACATGCAGTCTGTTTTATAGGCCTTTTTGTGGCGAGTGCCCGTTAAACTACACACATGCCGATCAGTTGGGGTGGTTTGAGGGGTCAATGTAGGCATATATGGCATACATGGAGTGTCTGGGTATTTGTTATTTTTGTGTGCTGGTGTTAACACGCGGTTTTTGCTGGGTACTTATTGTTTCTTGGGATGAGCTGTAGTGGGCGGAGTTCTTCCATTTTAAGATGAGTGGTGAACATTCCACACAACATGTCGTGATTGGACACAGGAGAGATTGACGACACCCGTGTCGTAGCCGCTTTCTGGGCAGAAATGCGGATTACAGCTGAGCTTTGAAGGTCGTCACATACTAGAACTTGCTGAAGAAACCAGAACAGCATGGAAACGCATTCCCCAGAAGGAGATTCACCAAGAGGGAACATCAAAAGTCACCCTGAGCAAAACTAGGCATAGGCGCATGGCGAGTGTGGCTGCAATAGTGGGAAACTCACATGAATCCTACAATTACTTGTCTAGACACAAGGTGCTTTAGGCGTTCAAATTGCTTGGAGTTATTGGACAAACATACACAAAGGATAATAACATGTCGAACTTCTTAAAGATGAATTAAGATCACCAACACTCTTCATTGCTCTTCCTGAAGTTGAAGAAACAAAGTGCCTGCCAATGCCTGCCATGCAATCATATTAGATAATTCATCCATTAAGGACACGTCGTGAGGCTCCAGGAAGAACTTCTTCCCCCAGTGTAGGCTACGTTCGACGAACGAGCTGAGCCGTGAACGATCAGCAAGAGTGAACGATGGGATTGAACATGCTAAACAAACTACATAGAACCAACCATTGCTTAGGAAAATCCCTACCGACTCCAGGGATTCTTGAGAAAGCATCACGATGGAGCAAAATAAGCCGCCCCGCCGGGCTGCTGTGCCCACCCCGCCCCACCCTCCTCCACCCTTCGAAACCAGGCCACTGGTCATCCACCTGCCGAGAGGAACACGTGGGGACGCGACCTGGTTGTGCTCACCCCGCCGACCCGAAATCGCAGCACCCAACAGCCCGAGGGAACCCCTCGATGCCAGTCAGTTCCCGGATGTGCACAAAGCAATCACAATGTACCCTGCTGAATACGATCCCGACCCTGATTTCACCACTGGTTGGTAGAGGAACTCAGTCGGACTGACAAGCTGGGTGCCATTTGACCGAGGTTCATCTCTGCTTTGTCGACATACAAGTCTTGTTGTCGGGGAGAGGATTGGCGTTCAGCAATCTCTGCCTGTCGGCAAGTAAAACTTTCATGCTACGAGATATCGAGAACCGAAGTGCTGCACGAAAAGAGGGAAGTGCACCATCACCCCAAGCAAAACCATCGACGTGTTTGACCCTCTGTTTGATCCTGAAACTTTGGTAGACCAAGCGTGGGGAAACAAACCACTTTGTACTTGGTGTAGCAACGCACAAGAACCATCAATCATATGTGTCACGCATGTCACCAGCTGGTTCTGTGTCGAGGCGGTTCCACCTCCCTGAAGAGGCACCAGCGGTTCCACCACCGGCTCCAGTCGTACCTCCTCAGAAGGTATATATGTATTTGGATCCTGCTGGCACCCTCCCCAGTCCCACCTTGGAAACGAAGGGTACAACCCACCTTGGGGGGGGGGCAGCGCACTTCCCGAGTAGATGCGCCTGCACCCACTCGGTCTCCAGTTCCTCCAAGGCCATGCCGTCGAGCCGCTACGGAGCTGGTGCATCCGAAGGTTTGTCGTGTCTTGGCACACCTGGTGGTCCTGACTGGAGCATGTGCACCGCACTTTTATAGAGAAAACCTAACATGGGATGTCCAACCTCGGATGTAGTGGCCCCACGAGGTTGTTGTTGGTAGGTGCTGGCAGTAGTGAGAGTGGATACTGCAGGACCCACGAGGTGGGGAATGGTGATAGTGATCATCGTTGTGTTTTTCGTTTGCACTTGTCGTGGTGGATGCTGTTGCTGGTGTCATCCGTAAGTGGAACGCATTGAGGTGCAAAAGAGTTGTACTCTGTGTCCGTGTAGCTCGTTCAAAACGATTCTTAGACGTTGTTGGAACATCAGCTCACCAAGCGTTCCATTTCTTTGTTCCCTGTGTTTGAGCATGTTACATGCTGTGGCAAACAAACGGCGGGTCTGAGCCAGTCATGGCTGTAAGTAACATGTGTCGAATGTGTCCTGGTCAAAAACAAGGATTTATCAAATAAACATCTCTTCATTGCGAGGGCTTGGCTTTCCTATGCCCAAATGCGGTGGATCCTACTGGTCCCGAGGCTGTAAGAATCAAACATATCCAGCTTGGCCGAGCCTCACATCCCTTCAATGAGCAGCTGATCGTCAATGATGATGTCAGACAACGCTGAGAGTGCAAACATGTTCTACTGTAAGCTCTTGTCATGGCTTCACCCGCACAAGGAACTAGATCTGGACACCCTGCACCCCCCTGCACCCCCCACAACATACACCACCGACGGAGGATCTGTTCATTCTTGGTGGGTCAGGTGAAAGTGTTCGTTTGGGGGCAGGGGACTGACTCCCAATTGTTTCCCCGGGAATAAAAGGTTCACCAAGTCCACAATCCCCCCAAAAGGGTTTCGCAGAATAGGTTATATCTACGTTTCCTGGGTGAGGGAAACCGGATGCTACTTTTCATGGCCATTCCATCCGCGCGCAAAAATCATCACGTGCCACACGCCCGATCGAGAACCTGTGCAGGGTTCTAAGTAGTGTGAGAGGTGCAACACGGAGGTCTTTGGGAATTCAGATTTAGTGCCCATTCCACCCAATTGGCAGACATGGCCAAAACAGTCTTAAAACTGCCACAAACCAATCCTTGATCTATTTGTTGGAGGGATTGAACAGTTCACTGGAACTCATTAGATGTGTAATATTACACATACATACAAATACCCAATACATCCTTTGGCAAGTGAGAGAATCCTGCCCTATGAAACACACAACAGGTTACATCACTCCCGTCACGATACCCATCTCTCCCATCTCCGCCTGGGGCAGCAGCGTTGGAAAGATCGCCTGGGCCATGTGCGGGCTGAGCATCGTATGGCGGGGGTTCCAAGATGTTCCAAGGCGTTCCGAGCGATGCCAGGGTCGCCCCGTTCGAGTCGCGTCCGCTCGCTCCGTTCGTCGCCATGCCCTTTGTTCGGTTCCAAGAGTCATCCCCCCCTAGGGGGCCGGAGAATCCCTTGACGTGGCCATTCCTTGAGTCGATCTGTGCCAAATGCTTTCGATGGGGACACTCGACTCTGGTTTGAAGTGACTTCTGGAGGCCACTGACAAGACAGGGAGGCCTATATGGGACTTCTGAAGGCAGTAAAGGCTTCCACTGAGTATCGAGGCCTCATGAACTACTGTAGATCCGATCATAGACTTCATAGACCTTGACACCTCACCTCTATATGTGCGGATAGAAGAACACGTGCTGTGCAGGAGCACACCGCTGCACACAGCCTCCACTCGCCTCGGCTTCCTTCCGCACAGAGAGGATGGAGGCCGTGGTGGAAGGCTGAGACGCGAGGCGAAGCGAGGCGAACGGCTGCCTTTCCGAATGTTTGGACAGAAATCCGTCAATATACAGGGGTCCCACTCAGTGAATGGTGAAACACAATGTCCTGTATAGATCTTCTTGTAAGAATCAGACAATAAAGGGAGGTCGGGTTTTTGAGAATCTGCTTCATCCTCAACCGATGGTTTGTCTCTGGAAAGACCGGCGTTTGGAAGTCTCCAAACTTGGGCCTTCCAACTTGAATGTGAAGGTGTGAAGGGGTCGTTCGCCTGAACTCGTTGTAGACGGGTGGTTTGTTTGCAGCCTGGAACAGGCCCAGTAGAGCAAATCTTCAGATACTGATGTCTACACAGGTAACTGCACTGCCATTCAACTCCTCGTCGCCCGGCACGGGGTGACCAATCGTTTTTGTCACTTGGACCATTGATCAATGGTCGAAACAAACCTTAAAGTATTGGTGGAACTGTTGTCAGAATAGCGGGCAACACAGGCAAAGGCAGCACCGATCAGAATCCTCTGAGAATGAAACACCTTGACGACTGACCATGTGTTGTTGATCACTGAAGATGACCATCATGTTTGAAGTCGCCATCAAGTCTGAAGATAACCTTCGCTTCGCTTCGTCCAAAAAGCACCTCACCATTCGACCGCATCCTCCGGCCCCCCACGGGTCGGACGTTCCCGGGCGTTCGGCGTTCGGGGCCGGCGAGCAAGCAAGTCGGTGACGGACCGGTGCCTCTAGAGGTGACTCTTCCAAGTACCAAAGTTCCCGCCTCAAAGCGCACATGGAGACGGCAGACAGGGAGACGGCAGGAGACGACGTGGCAGGAGAGGGAGCTACCTATGGTGGGCAGCGAAAACCCACAAAAAGGATCAAAAAGGGGTCTTTAAGTGCATGTTCGAGATCACAAAAGATCACAAATACGAAGTCAACACAAGTCAAGACTCTTTCCTTTCCCCAACGTGGTGGTATGTTCGAGATTTTCGAACGAAGCTGAGAACTTGGATCCGAAAGTGCGGAAGAATCTAGGCGAATTATCAACCAAATTGTCTTCATTGAAGCTGGCTGGTGCGCTGGCTGTCTCTGTCTGCTTCATCAATGTAACGCTTTGAACATTTGCGTTTGCTCCGTCCGGAGCCGGTCGCTGAACTGCGCCTTCCGTACCACTCGGAGAGCACCAAGGGGCCCTCGAAGTGCCTTGGCCGCCGCCGCTTTGAGGACGTCGTCTTCACGCCGCGAGTCGGAAGTGGATGGCACCACTTGGTTTGGTGCACATTGGTTCTCGTCCTCACGAAACTGGTGATCGATTTCGAGTGCACAAGGAGAACAAAGACATGAGGAATCGGAATATAGCTTACGATCGCGGACTTCGATGGACTGTTTAGATTTATTTTTGGATCAGCAATACTGTGGCAAACAATATGGGATGCTTGCAAGGGGTAGATGTTTCACATAGCTTCTGACTTTGACTACGTCAACTTAGCGTCCAAGTGAGAGGCTTCTCGCTCTTTTCCTTAACTGAAACTTTCGGTGGCTTCCACGCAAATACCTCATGGAATCAATGAGCCCCCAAGCTGATCTTCATCCACTCTGACAATTTCACCCTCGAGCTGGTGACGTCAAGTGGAGCGCTGCTTCTCGGCAGACTCAACTTTACACATAGTTGGACATGTTGATCTGTCCTTTGGGCAATCATGCACCAAAACAAGGCTTCAAAAGGCTCTTCGGAAAAAGGAAAGAACTTAAGGGCTGACCATGCAAAGTAGAACTCTTCTCAAATCGAACTCAAAAGAATGGGGCCCCCGACCTCTTTTGAAGTCGATGTCCTGAGAGACCCGTGCCTTACCTCTCTTTGGACCTCAACTACGCCGTTTGGACCTCGTTCTCCATCTCTGTGCTCCCCGACCAGTTCTGCCCACTGCGCTGGGCGGCGGCGTCCAAGAACGCCCGAGCGGTGCCGAAACGCTCGTAGACGGGCTGCAGCCTCGCTCAAACTGCGTGTCAGCCCGGCTCGAGCGAGGAGGTGAGGAGGTGAGGAACTGGTGTTGTAGGAAACGATGTAGGAACTGGTGTAAACCATGTGTTTATACTTAAATCATAGTGCAACATGTTGGTGTCCTTCTGCGTTATCAACCAATTCTTTTTCCGAGGTGTGTTCAAGTGCCTAAGAGCTTCTGTGCTTCCACAAAAACATACAAAAACTCAATCTTCTTCTCGAAGGGCGAGAAAGTGAACATGCAGGATACCTTGCACCCTCCACCCGAATGAACCTGGAGAAATAGAAAACTCATGAAACATCAGTCTCTTGATTTCAACAGTCATTGATTCATCTAAGACCACATCAATGTTCACCTTTGTTCCGAAACCAAGTTGTTCCATCTTTAAACGTGCCCACTATGCCGTAGCCGTAGCCCAAAACTGTATAAAACAGTAGCCAGTCAGACATAGTATTATGCTGGAAAATGTTGCAAGGCAGGCTGAAACTAAACAATATACTATATACAAATGTCATTGTCACCATTGTGACCTCTTGTCCACTTCTTCAGATTGGTCCTTGTTACCATTCTTCCAGTGGCCACCAGGTTGCTAAAGACCAATGTCATTCACCACTTCCATATGCTTCGTGACACCCTGTGCCACTCCGGCTCCCTCCGAATCACGAGAACCTCTGGATTTGACCCCTCACCCTCCCGCATCTCCCCGCCAGGGCTGGTCCGGCAACTCGATGAAGTGCCTGGAAAGGACAACAGGTCCCCGGCTCGAGCTCGCAGGCGCAACCGTTATGAGGATCCACTGCCACCTAGTGACAGGTCCGAAAGAGCCCAACCCAGGCGCCTACATACATAGTCTCCCTGCTCACCGTACCTCAGGTTCGGTATCTGGATCCTCATAGGGGTGTTATGTTTCTGTTTTTTCTCTGTGGTGTGTGGTGTGTGAATTTCACCCCCCTATCGGTTTCCACGGTTCATAGAGGAATTCCACACCCCTATCTCTGCAAGATGCGTCTTCTCGGTCTTTGTATCCTCACAAGTGAGCGTCGGATTTGACCGGGTCACGCAAACAAAACGGAAACGATGCCAGTGCTCACACGAACGTCCTTCTTCATCCCGGCGAAATCGCCGTCCGAAAAGAAGCTAGGAACAACCCCCCCCGAAACTTGGTCTGCTATTATAAGTTGGAGGCCATAAAACCCACCCAGACTGCCTTTGAGAAGGATGTGGGAGACTAGGGCGAGTCCCTTCAAGGCCTGCGGCCGGATTCGTCCAAAACCACGGAGACCAACGGACGGCTCCGTCCCCATCTCTGTGAGGGTCCGCTTGACCAGCCATGACTGCCGAGCCGAGGCCTGTTTTGGTGGAAAGAAAGGCAAACCACACTTTCCACCTGTCATGTTGAGTGGGGAAAACATGGGAAAACAATCCCCAAGATGCTTTCTGCAGCTTATCCTTCTCAGGAGGTAGTTGGAGCACTAGGGTTTGGTAACATCAACTGGTCCAGTTGTCGCACGGTTTCACGAAACATGCCGCCCACCTTGCCTGGGAGCCAGCTTTAAGAGGCTGGCCATGAGCTCCAAGCTGCCCTCGCAAAGTCGTCAACGGAAGCGACGGATGAAAACAGGAACAACAACGTGGATCCAGGCAGAACAAACAAATGGTTGGTGGACTGAACTCAGAACATCTCAGAACACGAGTCAGTGGGTTCATTCCAAGTCAATGTTGAATCAACACATCACACATCTGAAACCACCACCCAGTCAGTGCGAGGGAGCAGCTTGGAGTCCCCACCTTCCCACTCTGGACAGTTTCTTCGGACACGAACCGCGTCAAACAATGGTAACCCTCACCCAATCATGGTATGTCTATTTGTAAAGCTTTCTGTCTTTGAAGCTTCTTAGTCTAACAAGAAGCTACTAGGTTGGAGGCCATCGCTATTAATTAGGGTGAAGGCCATTAGTACTAGTAACAAGAAGCTTTTTAGGTCTTTGAAGCTTCTTAGTAACAACAAAACGGTTCGCACCTTTCTGACAACATGTCCATGTTCTCAGGGTGACGAAGGTAGCGTTGATTTAATAAGGTCACGTTTAAACCACACGTTTGTTGTCCCCAAAAAGATTGGTGTCCTGTAGATGTTCCCTTAAACCAGTTCTGGCACCGATGAGTCCACTTTGCAAGGTCCTTGTTCTTCTCTCTTGCCGACGGCTTCTGGTTGCCGATCAAGTCCGACTCGTGGTCACTCGTGGAGTCTTTGTTCACTTCTCCGCCCCCAGTCCGGTGAGAGCTTCGTTAGTTACCTATCGCTTTTCGCTTCGTGTTGGATACTCATGTGTGTGACATAAACCCGTTGAAGAGCTATCGCCTTTTTTTTGTGTCACCTATCGCAGTCCCAATGGTTTGGAACAACACTAACAACATCCACCAAAGTCAAGAACACGTCCACAATCCACTAACTATCAAACAATTCAACTCAAACAATGTGTTCTTCATGTTTCACATGTCCCAAATTCTATCTACTCCACCAAAAGCATCATCAGCAGCATGTTTTCTGGCTTAATTCTGCCATCCTTCACAAGGTACCCAGATGGAAGCCAAGTGCCAAGTGCCAAGTGCCAACGCAGCTGCTATGCCCGTCTCGGGCATCCCCCACCCGCCGAACGGCTCATCCTTCGCGTCTTTTTCGTCAACGCCGCGCTGAGAGTCTGAGCGGTCTCGAAATGGCGACGCCAGAGCCCTTGGTGGTTCCCAAGGATTTCAGTTTAGCTGGGAGTCAACAGAATTCCTATACCTGGATCTTATCTAAATGTTGGTGGAGGCATTTCTTCAGTTAACAACACCTCATACTTATCCAACAAATGCCGATTCGTTTGGCCCGTTGGGCACCAGGGCACCATGGAGGGAGACCACAGGACGCAGTTTGGAGATGCAGTTAGACCCGCGGTCCATCCTTTTTCCATGCCCAAACTGCATGAAGTTTCGGCCAACTCATCTGTGGTTCGATCATCCACCTGCAGATATAGATACACTCCCCACGACCCATGGGACTAGCATATGAACCCATACATTGAGCTGGTTGAAGAGGGGTCAGTGGGGTGGCAGTCCTATGCCAGTGGGTCGTGTATAGATACACTTGAAAGTAGCGAGCCGAGGAGCGTCGCAAGCAATTATTTGCTCAAGTTTTTGCTCAAAGAAGCTTTGAACCCCAATGTCAAAGTCGTGTCCATGTCAAAGTGTCCATGTTTCCGTCATTGGAAGTGTCCTGAATAAGAACATGTGCTACTACATGTGCTATGCCGGGCCTGGTGAACAAACCTCCCCACCATCACCAGCGGTGAAGGCCCTGTGGCCATGGAGGCCGTGAAGCATTTGCCTTGTGACGGAGTGTTGCTCATCCAAAGAAGGGCCATGACCGCGGGGTGCCTCTTCCAACTCCTGCTCATCTTCAAGCTACGCTCCTCAGCTCCAGATGGAGCGAACACCGAACCGTAGCTGGGATTGTCCATTTCTACCGTAGTGGCACTCATGAGTTGACAGCCTCGGCGATCGTGGCGATAGGGCGATAAAAGCCAGTCTTTGGGTCTTAAGCACGGAATGGGAAGCGCCAGAGTTGAAGTGATGTTGCGAAATGATCCTGTATGTGACATTGAGCCAGGATCGACATGGTTTTCATTCACCACAGAGTGTGGGGGGCTAAGAAATGTCATTGTGTTGGTGTATGTGGCTTTGCCACCCGATATCTGGATGAACGCGAGGTAGACCGAACCTTGCAATGCACCCTGATTCTTCCCGATACCAAACAATACATGATACATCATGATACCACATGCTTAAGAACCGCATCTCTCCATCTAAGGGATGTTCTTTTGCAGCTTCTCCACCTGATCGACGGTTGGATCAGCCAACCACCCGGCCTGACCGGTCGACGTCGACCGATACCGACATGGCGTGGTCGGATCCCCTGGCACGCACCAATTCGAAACGCCGAACACGAGAACACGTGTTGTTTTGACATGTTTGGACCAGGTACTGTTTCTACTTAGGTGTTGGAAAGCAAGTCTCAAGTGCATAGCAAGAACAATACCGTAGATACCCCACGCGCCGCACACACACACCAAACATGCAAAGCTCTTTTTTGCCTCTCCAAGGACAACGTGAAAAGATTGCCGCAGCGCTGATTCTGGGGCTGCGTGGGCCGCGAGGGATCTTCGCTACAGCAAATGCACAAGTGTGAACAGTTGTTGGATCATTCCTCAAGATGAAGGTAGGAGACAACCATGCGTGAATACATATTCATCATAACTATTCATATTCATATCCAGGTCATCAGTTGGATCATATTCGCGGTGTTGACATGTGTTGACATGTGTTGACTATATGGTTGAACATGTAGGCTGGGTTTACCAGTCCACAGGGTCGGTTCATCCCGCACCGGAGAGGGAGGGGGTGTCCATGTACCATGGACCAGCTTCTGGAAGGTCGAGTGGTGTCGTGCCCACGTGGCAAGAAAGACGTGAAACCTGCTTTCATCGAATGCATTCGTTGGATCTGCATTTTGCAGTTCCTCATGTGTGCTTGGATCTGCAAAATTTCTCACCGTGGGACTAAAGAAAGGCCCGCAATTCACCACCCGTCTTGCCAAACACTCAATCATCCGTATTTAACACTTGTGTAAAACCAAAAATGGATCTCGGGACTCAGGACTCAGCATGACCGAAACAGGACGAAACGAGAAGAAAGACGGAAGACTCGCCAGTCGACTGGATTCGATGACGTGACAGGCATCGAGAACGAACGGTGGCGGTTTCCGGGAGGCTTCCGGGACGATGACACTGAACAAACCTCCAATCCGATCATCGGATGCCATGACGTCTGCATGGCCTTTTAAGATTGAACCGCATACCAAACACGCCAAACAGGTGACAGGTGGTGCCCACTTCGGTTCTTCCGGAGTGTACAAACTCAAGAATCCTTAAGCAGACTGGATGTGAAGAATTCCGCGGCCCAGTAGCTTTCAACACTTCGTGGGCGAAGCATTGAGCTCCCCCAAAGCCAGCTCCGACAGGTGTCGCTACAAAAGCCAGCTGGTTGTCAGCCGGACCACTTGGACCTTGGCAAATCAACGTGATGTTGACCCCCCAAAAACCATCAGTGTCGTCCGTCCATATATAAACCTCATAAGAAGAAAAAGAAGCATTTAAGAAACAGAAGAAGAATCCTTCTCCTTGCGGTGTGTCTGTTCCAATCTCGTGTCCACTTAGTTGGAAGGCGTGTTCCAGAATTGGATCTACTTGAGGATGATGGGGTCTTTTTGCCTTGGAAGAAAAGAGCTCCAGATTCTCCGGAATTTTACAGTTTGACTTGATTGTCCACGACAAGACGGCCGATTTGCTCGACGACAAGTCCCAGTGATGAGTCCACCAGACAGCGCAGTCGCGTTACGGCTCCTGATTTCTCATTCTGAAACAACTTTCTGGATCCACCTTCCCTAAAAACCTTTCCCAAAACCTATGCCGCAGCTGTTGCTAAAGGCCCAAGCTTTTCTCCAGTCACTGCCCAGTCACTGCCGCGAGTTCAACCTGCCAGCCTTCACCCGGACTTAAATCCGGCCAACTTCTCGTCGACCGGTCCGGGCTTCGGCCTTTCATAAGGCCACGAGACCAGGCGCACGCCTTCCATGATACTTAGTTCTTCCGACGCCGCCGGCCTAGTGTCCCACAGCTGACTCCAAATACTGCTCCAGGTTCATCCCTCTTTTGGTTCTGTCAACGTGTCAACATCTCGATGCAGTCAATAAAGTCAAGACATCTCCAAATGATTCAACATGAATGTCATTGTGTTGGAGAGCCATTCATGCTCTACCGTCAAAAGAACCTGCTCTCCTTCATTTTTGGAGTGGTGCACCTCGCAGCATCTTCTGGCGAAAAACCTTCCAACATGTTCCAAAAGCATCGCGCTCGAAACCTCAGTCTCCAACTGGCTCCGAGCTCAGGATGCGGAGATGGGAAAAGTCGCACTTCGCAAAAAGATTGCAAAAGCTCTGCAGCGGAGACATCTCGCAACAATCACTGCCATCGTTCTGAACTCCCTTGACTCAAGACATTCTATGAATTCATGCGCGGAAGTGGAGGTGTCCACATCGGAAAATGAACGATCATGCGACATCTTAAGGGGTGTCCATAAACCACGCCACTGGTTGCAGGTTAGAGTTCTTGGAGTACGAAGTAGGGCCAGTAGGGAAGTGTTTGCAACACGAAACATGTTTCGGACACGACACATCCTCCTCATTTCAGGATCAACCAAGGGGAGGAGCACCAGGAATGCAAGGATTCCGCTGCAGGTTGGAGTAAGCAACGGATGTCCCGGTAGCGAACGCATGTTTATGCCGGTATATGCCGGTATCTTCCAACCTCGTCACGGACAAGGACGCTGTGGATCGGGGCCGCCCCGAAACCGCCTTCAACCGCCCCGAAATCAAAGGGCTAAAGGGGAACTCGGGTCGCTGGCTGCTCCGAGGTTTTTTCCGTTCCCCCTTTCAAAAGGAAAGATGGAGACTCCCGAACGACCGGCGGAGAAGCCTCCAATCGCCCCACTATCGCTGATAACAGCTAGCTGAGTGATTTGTTCACGCGTCGTCGTGAGCGGACTCGCTGCGGAGGGATCTGTAAAAGTCTCACAGCATGGGGAATTTGACCTCCAAGTGCTGCGAGTGAAAAGCTGGAGCCACTGGTCACATCATGTTGTTCTTCAAAACGCTCAGAATGTGAGTGAACTTAGCATCCAACTGGATGTGGGAGAAGGGACTGGGGGTAGGTGCCAGGGTCCAGTCACACCTTCTGAGGAAGCAT